ACTTTTCCTTTAAACACTTTTTTGTACAACAAAAAACAAAAAAGTTATGAATTTTTTTAAAATTTTGAAATTTTCAAAATTTTGGATTTTTGACAATTTTTTAAAAAAAAAATTTTTTTAATTTTTTTCCTTAAATTTTGTACAAAAACAAACAACTTTTCCTTTGAACACTTTTTTGTACAACAAAAAACAAAAAAGTTATGAATTTTTTTTTCCAAAAAAGTGCAAAAAATTGAGATTTATAGTGAGTGAAGCATTAGCCGAAACATTAAAAAACATTAAAAACATGTCAAAACTTTCACTTTTTTCTTTTAGATGCCAAATTTAGGTAAATATACAAAATTAGGAACAAAAAAGAACTCAAAATATCCGAAAATTTTGCTGTTTTTGAATTTTTTCGTAATATTTGTTTTTTACATTCTCATCAAAAATGAGAAAGTATTGGATTTGTGCGATTTTGAGAAATTTCTAATTTTGATAAATCTTTACGTTTCATGACCCCCTGATTCCAAAAAAATGGTTTTTAGAGAAGTGTCTGTCTGTCTGTCTGTCTGTCTGTAGAAAATTTTGTCTCGACGATAACTCGAATAAATTTTAACGAATCGTCTTGCAATTTGGGGTGCTTTTTTAGTCCATTAAAATAAAGCCTGAGTTCGTTGGACAGCTCATTTCGTCAAAAAACCACAAAAATACAAAACTTTTAAATTTTCAAAATTTTGTATTTTTTCCAATTTTCAAAAAAATATTTTTTTCTAATTTTTTCCTTAAATTTTGTACAAAAACAAACAACTTTTCCTTTAAACACTTTTTTGTACAACAAAAAACAAAAAAGTTATGAATTTTTTTAAAATTTTGAAATTTTCAAAATTTTGGATTTTTGACAATTTTTAAAAAAAAAAATTTTTTTAATTTTTTTCCTTAAATTTTGTACAAAAACAAACAACTTTTCCTTTGAACACTTTTTTGTACAACAAAAAACAAAAAAGTTATGAATTTTTTTTTCCAAAAAAGTGCAAAAAATTGAGATTTATAGTGAGTGAAGCATTAGCCGAAACATTAAAAAACATTAAAAACATGTCAAAACTTTCACTTTTTTCTTTTAGATGCCAAATTTAGGTAAATATACAAAATTAGGAACAAAAAAGAACTCAAAATATCCGAAAATTTTGCTGTTTTTGAATTTTTTCGTAATATTTGTTTTTTACATTCTCATCAAAAATGAGAAAGTATTGGATTTGTGCGATTTTGAGAAATTTCTAATTTTGATAAATCTTTACGTTTCATGACCCCCTGATTCCAAAAAAATGGTTTTTAGAGAAGTGTCTGTCTGTCTGTCTGTCTGTAGAAAATTTTGTCTCGACGATAACTCGAATAAATTTTAACGAATCGTCTTGCAATTTGGGGTGCTTTTTTAGTCCATTAAAATAAAGCCTGAGTTCGTTGGACAGCTCATTTCGTCAAAAAACCACAAAAATACAAAACTTTTAAATTTTCAAAATTTTGTATTTTTTCCAATTTTCAAAAAAATATTTTTTTCTAATTTTTTCCTTAAATTTTGTACAAAAACAAACAACTTTTCCTTTAAACACTTTTTTGTACAACAAAAAACAAAAAAGTTATGAATTTTTTTAAAATTTTGAAATTTTCAAAATTTTGGATTTTTGACAATTTTTAAAAAAAAAAATTTTTTTAATTTTTTTCCTTAAATTTTGTACAAAAACAAACAACTTTTCCTTTGAACACTTTTTTGTACAACAAAAAACAAAAAAGTTATGAATTTTTTTTTCCAAAAAAGTGCAAAAAATTGAGATTTATAGTGAGTGAAGCATTAGCCGAAACATTAAAAAACATTAAAAACATGTCAAAACTTTCACTTTTTTCTTTTAGATGCCAAATTTAGGTAAATATACAAAATTAGGAACAAAAAAGAACTCAAAATATCCGAAAATTTTGCTGTTTTTGAATTTTTTCGTAATATTTGTTTTTTACATTCTCATCAAAAATGAGAAAGTATTGGATTTGTGCGATTTTGAGAAATTTCTAATTTTGATAAATCTTTACGTTTCATGACCCCCTGATTCCAAAAAAATGGTTTTTAGAGAAGTGTCTGTCTGTCTGTCTGTCTGTCTGTAGAAAATTTTGTCTCGACGATAACTCGAATAAATTTTAATGAATCGACTTGCAATTTGGGGTGCTTTCTTAGTCCATTAAAATGAAGCCTGAGTTCGTTGGACAGCTCATTTCGTCAAAAAACGACAAAAATATAAAACTTTCAAATTTTCAAAATTTCGTATTTTTTCGAATTTTCAAAAAAATATTTTTTTCCAATTTTTTCCTTAAAATTTGTACAAAAACAAACAACTTTTCCTTTAGACACTTTTTTGAATAACAAAAAACAAAAAAGTTATGAATTTTTTTGAAATTTTGAAGTTTTCAAAATTTTGGATTTTTTACAATTTAAAAAAAAAAAATTTTTTTTATTTTTCTTCTTAAATTTTGAATAAAAACAAACAATTTTTCCTTTAGATACTTTTTTGTACAACAAAAAACAAAAAAGTTATAAATTTTTTTCCCAAAAAAGTGCAAAAAATTGAGATTTATAGTGAGTGAAGCATTAGCCGAAACATTAAAAAAAGTTAAAAACATGTCAAAACTTTCATTTTTTTCTTTTAGATGCCAAATTTAGGTAAATATACAAAATTAGGAAGAAAAAAGAACTCAAAATATCCGAAAATTTTGCTGTTTTTGAATTTTTTCGTAATATTTGTTTTCTACATTCTCATCAAAAATGAGAAAGTCTTGGATTTGTGCGATTTTGAGCAATGTCTAATTTTGCTAAATCTTTACGTTTCATGACCCCCTGATTCCAAAAAAATGGTTTTTAGAAAAGTGTCTGTCCGTCTGTCTGTCTGTCTGTCTGTCTGTCTGTCGTCTGTCTGTAGAAAAATTTGTCGCCACGATAACTCGAATAAATTTTTATGAATCGTCTTGCAATTTGGCACACTTTTTTAGTCCATAAAAATGAAGCCTGAGTTCGTTGGGCAGCCCATTTCGTCAAAAAACAACAAAAATACAAAATTTTGAAATTTTCAAAATTTTGTATTTTTTACAATTTTCAAAAAAATATTTTTTTTAAATTTTTTCCTTAAATTTGGTGCAAAAACAAACAACTTTTCCTTTAGACACTTTTCAGTACAACAAAAAACAAAAAAGTTATGAATTTTTTTTTTTTTTTTTAAGTTTTTGGGCCAGATTTAGCCAAACGGTTTATCTAGAATTAAAAAATTTTATTTTCATATCAAAATATTTTTTTTTTGTCTCTCAACATTGTTTAGAAATATTGCTTTACATATTACTCAGAAATTTTTTTTTTAAAGTTATTAAAAATTTAATTTTTTAGTATTTCTAAATTAAACAAATTTTTTTTCAGTTCTGGTTAACCGATATAAAATTCGAAATATGATTTTTTCATTTTCAATTGCACTATTTGAATATATTTTTTGTTTTTAATCATTTTTACATTATTATCACATGAGAAAGTATTAGTTTTGGTCGAAAATTGACTTTCGCTAATTTCTTGAAATCTCGACGTTTTGGGGTCCCCTGAGTCTGTTAAACATGGTCTAGAAAAAGTGTCTGTCTGTATGTCTGTCTTCGTGTCTGTCTGTAGACACAATGGTGTCCCTACGATAACTCTTGAAAAACTTATTGCATCAACTTGCAACTTTGCATGCACAAAGTTACTGTTAAAATACAGATCGAGTTCGTTAGCCAGCCATTTTCGTCGAAAACTACACAAACTACAGTAGTTTCAAAATTTTGAAAATTCAATTTTTTCAAATTTCAATATTTTTAATTTTATATTACTTTCGATTAGAAAAATACAAACAACTTTTCTCTACAACATTTTTTCATAAAAAATTAATTTTTTTTTAAGTTTTTGGGTCAGGCGAGGTCAACTGGGTTAAAAAAATTTTATTGGTTTTCTAAAATGTTATAACTAAAATATATTCATAAAAGATATAACATTTTAGAAAATCAATGAAATTTTTTTAATACAGTTGCGCTGGTGTGACCCCTTTTTACATTTCAATTTTTGGTCCTATCTTGTTGGAAATGGTTTTTTACATTCTCATCACATATGAGAAAGTAATATACCAGAGTAACTTTTCTAGGAGATAAACACTTAATTAAAACAAAAATGTCTGAGTAAGTAAACAAAGAGTGAAAAGTTAGTCATTACGCTCCGGTCTACACTACACAAAAAATTTGATACTAATTCTTTAAAAATATTTTAGCTGCTTCTGCAAATCATGTTTTTACTAAGAGAGTTAGTATAATTAAAAATAACTTTACAATTTTAATCATCAAGACCAAAAATATACATTTAAATTCACATAATATCGCAATCATCAGCAAACTAAAACATGTGATGAGAATGTAATCCTTAAAGTCGTAGTAACTTTAAGAAAAAAAAATGTTTTATAAAACATATAATAGGAAACAAGAAAACAAATAATGCACAACAATTGCAGACCCCTGCGAGCGAAGCGAGCCACTTGCGCGCGAAGCGCGCAACAACACACGGAGCGCGAAGCGCGACGTGCGAAATAATCGCCGGAGCGCGAAGCGCGACGATCAATATTCGCGCGCCCCGAGGCGCGCTGAAACTTGCGAGCGAAGCGAGCCCCCGCGCGAAGCGCGGATGAGAATGTGTCCGCGCTTGCGCGGACAGATTTTTTTTAAGAATAATTGCATTTTTTAAGGAATTCCCCTAAAATTGTACTAAAAATAGTTGAAATTCTGCTATGAGTAAATTTTTGCGAAGAATTTTATAAACACTTTTTAAATAAATAAATTCCAGTAAACTTTTTATTACTTATGAAAATAATTGAATGTTTGCGTAGAATTTAAACAAAAATTTTTTTAAATAATTTTTTTTTTATGAAATTATTAGATATTGGAAATCATTAAATTCTGAAAAAATTTTGAAAATACAGGTAAACCTCGCTACGGCGGAAACTCGCCAGGTAGAAGTAGAAGGGATTATATCAGTGAGAGTTGTGACTGCGTTAGTGCCATGAAATTCAGGGCTGAAAAGTTTCGAATTGTAATTTTTATATGGATGTTTTTTTATTTAAATTATTTAATTTATATTTGATTTATAATTTTTGTTTATTTTGTGATATATTTTATATATTATAAAAAATAAACATGAAAAATAATAAAATAAATAGAATAACAAATTAAAGTAATTTAAAAAAAATTATTATATTTAAAATTCATCGCAAAAATTAAATTATTTTTTATAAATAATAAAATTCTCCTGAGGAATTCAATTACTTTCAAAATTTTCAATTATAGCTATTAAAGAAACTCCATTATTTTAAAAAAGTTTAAAGATATTCTTCAAAAGAATTTAATTAAGATTTTTATAAATTTTAATTAAATTTTTTGCGAGAATTCGATTATTTTCATAAATAATAAAATTCTTCGAAGGAATTCAATTGTTCTCAAATTTTTTGACAAAATTCTTTGCAAGAATTCAATGATTTTTAGTACATATTTTTAAATAAGGTAATTAATAAATTATCATAACTTCTATTTCATATTTAAAGATCATATGATTGATCATATGATCCCTGATTATTTTGAGAAATTTAATTAGAATTGTATTGAGAATAATTTAATTCTTGTTATTAAAATTTTTGAAAATAAGTTTTTCAGAAATTCAATAAAAATTGTATATAAAAAGTAATTGAATTCCTAAAAAGAATGTTATCATTTATGAAAATAATTAAATGTTTGCGTAGAATTTTATCAAAATTTTATTAAAAAAGTAGATTTTAAAAATCATTGAATTGAGGAAAATTTTTGAAAATAATTGTAATTTTCCCAAGAATTTGATTAAAATTTTTGGAAATAATTAAACTTCGGAGAAGAATTTAATTATTTATAAAGATAATTGAAATTTTGACGAGAATATTTAAAAATTTTTGAACATAATTGAATTTCTGCAATTATTTGTATAAATTCTCCAAAATTCAATTTTAGTTTTCTTAACTAAAAATTTTCTAGAAATTCATTATTTTTAGTATTAAAATTTTTAAAAATAATTGAATTCTTGTGAAAATTTTTATTATTTATGAAAATAACTGAATTTTGCAAAAAATTTTATTTAAATTCTTGAACATAATTTAATTTCTACGAAGAATATTGTTATTTATCAAGGTGATTAAATTCTTTTGAAGAATTGCGTTAAAACTTTTGAAATAATTAAGTATATTTTAAAAGAATCAACTAATTTCAAAAGAATTGAAATTAAAATTTTTCAAAAAAAATTAGTTCTTTTTCTTCAAAAAAATTAATTTAAATTATTAATTTAAAATATGAATAAATCAGATTTTCAAAGGATTGAATTTGAAACCTTTTCAAAATTCAATTATTTCTAAGAATTGCTATTATTTGTAACTTATCCAAAATTAAATTATTATTTTGGAGTTTTTACCTGAAGTTCTTCTATAAATTAATTATCTTTAATAATTAATTAAATATGTTAAAATAAAACTAATTTCAAAACAATTTAAATTATTAATATTTTTCAAAAATTTACGTTTTTTAAAATATCTGATTAAATTTATTTAAAATTTTAATTTTCTAAAATTTTAAATTGAAACCTTTTGAAATTCATTTATTTATGAAAATTGTAAACGCAAGTTTATTAAAATTCAAATAATTTTGAGATATTGAAGTAAAATTATTCATTAAATAATTTCCAAGTAATAATTTTATGATAGTTTTTCAGGAATTAAGTTATTTAAAATAAATTATTGTCAAGAATAGAAAAAATTGAAAGTTTTGTATTTGAATTCGTGGTATGTAATTTCATAGTTCATGAGGCAAACAAAAATGACACAAAAATTCAGAATTTTGTTATGAATTCTAAAAATTTAATTTTTTTCCAATTCCTTTTAATAAAATTCCCCGACTTCTCCCTGATTTCCCTGACCAGTAAAAACCCTGAATTTCTTTAGAAAATAATAATAATTTAATATATTTTTCCTTTGCTGATTATAGTTTTGATCAAGGACCACCTGACAGTGTGACTCAACTTTGTCATTTCGAATGGACAGCTCAGGACGATTTAGTTGCAAAAGTCGACATCGAACAGGTTCCTTATTTCAACGCTCCAATTTATTTGGAAAACAAACAACAAATTGGCAAAATTGACGAAATTTTTGGAAACATTAGAAATTTTTATGTCTCTATTAAATTATCAGACAATATGAAAGCGTCAAGTTTCGAAAAAGATGCTCAGGTATTATTATCAATATTAATATCAATGAATTATTGATTTAATTTAATTAGAACATTTTGAATAAAATATTTGTTTTCTCTTTTCAGTTCTTTATTGATCCGGCGAAACTTTTACCACTTCAGAGATTTCTTCCCAAGCCTCCAGGTTCAGTTCAAAAGAGAGGAGGCCGAGGAGGTGGTGGACGAGGTGGAGGACGTGGCGGATCTTTTGGTGGTGGCCGCGGAGGCGGTGGTGGATTTAGAGGAGGACGAGGCGGATCTTTTGGTGGTGGCCGTGGAGGCGGTGGTGGATTTAGAGGAGGACGAGGAGGCGGTGGAGGTGGTGGTGGTTTCAGAGACTCCGGAAGAGGCCGAGGAGGAGGAGGTGGAAGAGGTCGATGGTAAAAACTAAAGATATTTAATTTCTTTTAAATATATCAAATAAATGATTCACGAAATCTAATGTTGTAATTGACTAAAAACGACTTTTTTCGAGACAAAACGAATTTAATCTTCTAAAAGATTATGTACAGTTGATTTAATTATAATTCAAAACAATAACTAGTTTTGTGAAATATACAAATAACGTTAAGAGAGAGAGATAGAGAGAAAAATGTATTCCATAATTTTACATCTATAATAAAGTTTTTTTTTAAATAAACTTGTTTTATACCTCGTCAAATTTTATATGTTTTCCAAGTTCCTTTTCCGCCTTCTTGAGTAATTTGTCTCTTCCTCTTTGTTTCACTCTTATATTATTTTCTATTTTGTCTTTTCTGTCACTTGTCATTTTGTCCCAGTAGGACTTTTCCTCGTCACCTGTGAATTTCCAAAGCAGAAAAAATTACAATTGTTAAATTTTTAAAACTTTAAGGAAAAATCTAAACAAAACTGTCATAAATTAGTGGCATTTAAATTAAAATTAAAAATTTTCTGTCAACAAGAACAGGGTTGTCACAAAAAGTTGATTTTATTTTTTCCTGACTTCCAGGCAGAACTTTTGACTCTCTCCCTGACCCTAAAGAATATTTTAATTCACTCTAAAAATAATTTGAAAAATGTTTGAATATCTTTTATTGTAAAATTATTCGAAACATCAATAGCTCTTTTTAAATAAATATTTAATTATTATTATTTTTACACAGGAATTGAGATTTTCAAAAATTTTAAATTTTAAATCCATTGAAATTCAATAATTTATATTAAGAATTGTTACTGTAATTTATCCAAAAATTATTCTCAAGATTTAAATTCAATTAATATCAGGGATTTTTAACTAAAGTTCTTCTCTAATTCAATTATTTTTAGTAATTTTTTAGAAAAGTTCCTTAAGAATTAAATTATTTATTTAAAGAGAAAAAAAGTTCATCTAAAATATTTCTGAAATCGACTTGTTTACAATTCAATTTCATGAAATTTCAATAATTTAAAAATTTAAAAATGAAATATTTATTCAAAAATACAACTTATTTTAGTAAATATGTTTTTAACAAATTATATTTTTTTGGACCTTAATTTTTATAAATAAGAAAACTGGTTTCATTTGTGGCCTTTGGTCCATGAAGTAAAAAATATCAAAGATTATTTATTCTTGAGGATTTTTATTAATACCACTCAAATGCATTTTCGCCATGTACATGGCTCATCAGGAACTACAATAACAAAAAAGATATCGGTCATAAAGGGAAATAATAATACAATAGTCGTATTTCAAAAAAGTGAAAAATAAAATAAAAATCAGGTAACATACCGCATATTTAAAGGGTTGGAGTTTTTACATTAGAGAAAATATATACATATTAAAAAAGGAGGCATGCTAGTGCATAACCTCACAAAACATGAAAAAAATCTGTACGTTGAATAGAAATGTCTCATAAAACAAAAGCTCCATCATAAAAACTGACACAGATCCACAGTCAAATTACATAAAAAACTTTTCCTTTGAAAACATTCTTTAAAAAAACATTTTAATATTTAAATTTCTCTTCTTCTTCTTAAATTTCTCTTCTCTGTAACCAAAATTTAAATATTAAAATGTTTTTTTAAAGAATGTTTTCAAAGGAAAAGTTTTTTATGTAATTTGACTGTGGATCTGTGTCAGTTTTTATGATGGAGCTTTTGTTTTATGAGACATTTCTATTCAACGTACAGATTTTTTTCATGTTTTGTGAGGTTATGCACTAGCATGCCTCCTTTTTTAATATGTATATATTTTCTCTAATGTAAAAACTCCAACCCTTTAAATATGCGGTATGTTACCTGATTTTTATTTTATTTTTCACTTTTTTGAAATACGACTATTGTATTATTATTTCCCTTTATGACCGATATCTTTTTTGTTATTGTAGTTCCTGATGAGCCATGTACATGGCGAAAATGCATTTGAGTGGTAATATGTTTTTAAAAAAATAACTTCATCAGAATTTTGAATCAGAAGTTTTTAAAATTCAACTTTTCTAAAACTTCAATTTAAAACTTTTTGAAATTCAATCTATATTCATAACATCAATTTAACATTCTAAAATGTAAAAATAGTGACTTATAAATAATCAAGAAAAATTAATTAATATTAATGCAAATTTTTTCGACGAATTTCATTAAAATTGAATTGAAAATAATTCAATTTTTATATAGAATTTTATTCAAATTTTTGAAAACAATTTAATTGTTTTGAAATATTTTATTCAAATTTGGTGAAACTAATTAAAATTCCTCTGAGGAATTCAATTAAAATCGTATGAAAAATAATTGAATTTTTATAAAGAGTTTTATAAAAATTTTACAAGTAATTGAATTACTTCAAGAAATTTTTGAAATTATTGAATTCTTGCAAATTTTTTTGCCGAATTTCATTAAAATTGTATTAAAAATAATTCAATTTTTATATAGAATTTTATTAAAATTTATTAAAAATAATATTGAATTCTTTGCAGAAATTTTATTAATTTTTAAAATAATTCAATTTCTGCGAAGAATTTTATTAAAACTGAATTTTCTTAAATTTCGAATCTCAAAGAATTCAAAACTTAAAGTTGTTCAAAACTTGAAGTTGATATTTGAAAATAAAAAATTTTATAATATTCATAATAAAAAATTGAATACTGCGTTCAGCGCAGAACATTTGCTAATCATTTATATTATTTATAAAAATTGAAAGCACCACTTTTATAAAATTCAATTATTTTTTGAATGTTTAGAGAAAATTATCCATAAAGCAATTTATAATTATAATAATTTTTCGATAGTTTTTCAAGAATTAAATTACATTTAAAATCTGTAAAGTTCAATTATTTGTTAGAAATAGAAAGAATTTAAAATTAAAGTAAATCTTTTCAATATTTTTAAAGACTGACTGCTGGGCAACAAAATTTAGAATTTTTTTAAGAATTCTAGAAATTGAATATTTTTTCAGTACTTTTAATAAAATTCCATGACTTTTTCCTAACGTATCGACAGTTATTTTTATTCAAATGCAACTTTCAATTGTTTAAAGTGTTGAAAAATAAATTCTTTCCGCTTCCACTAGAGTTTAAAATTGATCTTTTTCATATAAAATACGAAATTATGACATTGAACTAACGTACGATAATTTTGTTCCGATTCTTCGTTAAAAATTATTTTTTGATTTCTAATGATACCCACCTTCTAATATTGTCATTGTTCGATCGTCTCTGGTTTTTTGCGTAAAAGACTTCGCCGATTCTGACGAATCAAATCGTACAAATGCAATATTTGAACCCTCACGAATGTCAACATATTTTATCGAACTGGAAGAACTGCTTCCCTTTATTTCCATCTGGAAATTTGTTTTTAAATTAAAAATTAAACATTTACTCATGAATAATTTGAAGAGAAAAGTGAAAAGAAGAAAAGAAACTATTTTTAACTTAACTAAAGAAAGAAAATAACTCACTTTGAAATTTTGTGGATCACTGCAAGGAGATTCCATCTCTATTTGAACAATCAATCCGGGCGAGAAACTAAATCTCGGAGCATCTTTCTTTTCGGTTGTTTTTTTATTCATTTCTTCTTTCTCGGTTTTATTTCTCTCAACATTTTGCCATTGATTCCACATTGCTCGCTTCAAATGTTGTTTTAATTGTTGCATTTTCGCTTTTTGCATATCAAGATATTTATTTCTCAAACGTTTCCATTCTTTTTTCGCCATTATTTCTAGTCCCGTGTCCGGTGCTTCAATTTCATCTCTTCGCTTTGAACGCTTTCGTTTACGTTTCTTCTTTTTTTCGATAATTTCTTTATCGACAACTTTAATTGATTTTGCATCTTTATTAGTTTCCTCAGATTTTTTATCAGCTTCATTATTTTCATCAGATTTTTTCACCTTCTTGGGAACAATTTCCGTGTCGGATTGATTTTCCGTTTCTTGATCTGATACTTTTGATTCTAATTCAGGAGCTTTTCGCTTTAATTTCTTCTCTTTTTTCTGCTTCTTGTCACACTCAGTAACGATTGATTCATCATTTACGTCAGAGGGATTAATACTGTCGGTACTTTTTGTTTTTCGTTTCTTTACTTTTTTCGATTCTTTCCCTGTTGAATCGGATTGATCACTTTCATTGTTTGCGTATTTTTTCTTCTTTATTTTCGAATTTTCATCTTCGTCATTCGTTGAAGTATCCTCGGTGGAGAGGCGTTTTTTCTTTTGAGAATTATCGATTTTCTCTTCTTTGTTTTCAGTTTCCTCTGTTTTATTTTCCTTTTTTGTTATGATTTGTTTTGCGATTTCGTCATCGCAATTCTCATGTGTTGTTATACTGAGAAGAGTATTTGGAGTCGTTTCCGAAGGAAGAAGACCACCTTTTTCCTTAAATGCCTAAAACAACAAGAATTAATGAATGACATAGTTTAGAGTATAAATGTGTCAATCTAAACTTACCGTTATACATTTAAAAACATCTTTAGGTGTTTTGAATTCAACAAAAGCAAAACCCTTGATTGCTTTATTTTTATATTTTGGAATCGATATATAATCAATTTGTCCGTATTGGGAAAATATTTTTGAAATCCAATCGTGATCGGCTTCTGACGGTAATTTTTGTACGTAAATTGTACATTCATCGGAATTTTCTTTCTTACAAATGGGAGTTGTACGACAAACTTTCGTCCCATCTTCAGAAACTGACAGCATTGTTGAATCCCTTAGTGCTTTGGCTATTCTACTGACATCCGTTGTAAGTGCCGCAACTTTATTGAATTTTATGAATATATCCAAATCGATCCCTAGAAAAAGTTTAATTTTCCAAATACAAGGTTACCACAAAAATTTAATTTTGTTTTACCATGACCTTTCCCTGATTTACAGACAAAATTATAACTTTTTCCCTGACCCTAAAGAACATTCTGATTCTGATTCTGATTAGATACTCCAAAAAATGTTATATTACATTTATTGTCGAATTTCTTTAATTGTAAAATTATTCAAAAACATCAATAACTTCTTTTCAAATAAATATTTTTAATCATTATTATTTTTCGATAGGAATTAAGATTTTCAAAAATTTGATAATAATATATCATAAGAATATTGTTACTGTAACTTTTTAAAAATTATTTTCATCATTTCAATTCAATTATTATTTTCTAGGATTTTTAACTAAAATTCTTCTTTAATTCAATTATTTTTTATAACTTTTGACAAAGTTGCTTGAGGATTTTCAAATCTATTTGCTTAGAACTCAGTTTCACGACATTTCGATTATAAGAAAATTCTTCAATTAAATATAGATTAGAAAATATAAAATTCAAATTAGTTTCAAAAAAATTAGTTTGACAGAATTGTTAATTAAAATATGAAAATTTCCATTTGGAAAGATTTTAATGTGAAACATTGGCCAAATTCGAAATTATTTCAAAAAATTGATTAGTTGAAAGTATGAAAAATTAAAATTCTAAAAGATTTGAAAATAATTGAATTTCTGCAATCATTTGTATAAATTCTCTAAAATTCAATTTTTTTAGTGTTTTTAATTAAAATTCTTCTATAAATCCATTATTTTTAGTAATTAATTAAATATATAATTAACAAATTTAACTAATCTTAGAAGAATTTAACTAAAATTATGTTTAAATTAATTAAAATCTTGTAAAGAATTGTAATAAAATTTTTTTAAATAATTTAATTTCTACGAAGAATTTTATTAAATTCTGCAAAAATAATTGAATTCTTGATAAAAATTTTCAAAAATAATCTTTTCAAGGATTTAATAAAAATTTGATTGAAAATAATTTAATTTTTACGAAGAATTTAATTAAAGTCTTTAAAAAGAATTGAATTATTTTAAGAAATTTAATTAGAATTATATTGAAAATAATTAAATTCTAATTTTGTTATCAAAATTTTTGAAAATAAGTTTTTTAGGAATGCAATAAAAAATGCATTGAAAATAATTGAATTCCTATAAAGAAACTTATTATTTATGAAAATAATTAAATCTCTTAGAAGAATTTTAATGTTTATGAAAATAATGGAAATCATGCGAACAATTTAATTAACCATTTTTAAATAATTGAATTCCAGTGCAAATTTTTATTTTTTATGAAAATATTTGAATGTTTGCTTAGAATTTTATTAAATTTCTTTTTAAATAATTAAATTCTTTTGCAATATTTTATTAAAATAGTAAGTAGATATTGAAAATCATTAAATTAGGGAAAGTTTTTTGAAAACAATTGAAATTTTGAGAATAATTTTATTAAAATTTATAAATATAATTAAAATTCAGATGTGAATTTTAGAAAATTTTTAAACATAATTGAATTTCTGCGAAGATTTTTTTTTGAAAATAATCTTGCCATGAATTTAATGAAAAATGTGGAAAAATAATACATAATTGAATTCCTGTTCATTATTTGTAACTTCTCCAAATTTCAATTTTTTTTTGTGTTTTAACTAAAATTCTTCTAGAAATAAATTATTTTTAATAAATAATTAAATATATATTAAAAAGTTTAACTAATTTCAGAAGAGTTTGAATTATTAAAAATTTTCAAAATCTAAGTTCTTTACAATTTCTAATTAATTCAAAATTGAATTTTTCTAAAATCTCAAATTGAAACCTTTTGAAGTTGATCTATTTATGAAAATTGTAAACGCAACTCTTTTAAAATTCAATTAATTTTGAAATATTTAAGTTTTAATTCTTCAAGAATTAAGTTATTAAAAAAATATTGTCAGAAATAGAAATAATGGAAGGTTTTGTGTTATAATTCATGGTAATATCATAGTTTATGAAGCAAACAAAAAAGACAACAAACTTCAAAATTTTCTTATGAATTCTAAAAATTTAATTTTTTCCAGTACTTTTAATAAAAATCCCTGACTTTCCTGATGAACTCGACTTCCCCTGAATTTGATAACTTCCCTGAGCTGTGTCAACACTCAAATAATTAAACGTTAATGGATTTTGAATGTGAAAAATAAATTTTATACTTACAAGGATCTTGTGATATAAGTCTTCCTAAAAATCTGTCTTTGCTTAAATTTGCATCGCCAAAGTAAAATTCCATTTGTTTCAAAATTGATGCATGCAATTCACGATGACGTTTTCGTGGTTTTTTACGAAAAATCTCAGGTTTTTGTTCCTCAACAACGACTGGTTCTTCAATTACATTTTCCACTGGAGGTACCGGAATTGTTTCCGACGCCAACTCCATTTCTGATTCTTGCTCTTCACTCACCATTTTGGTGAATTAATTCTAAAAAGAAGAAAATGATAAATAATTCTTAGAATAAAAATCCGCATTAAATTCTCTCTCTATATTTAATCTCATTTAAAATAGAAATTCAATATTTGAAGGATTTGAAGGAAACAACATAACCTATAAGATCATTTTCTAGTTTCGAAAAATTTGCTCTTGTGTAGGTGACAATATTATTTTAATTAAAAAAAGGGTTTATAAAAGTGAAAATAATTGTAAAAATACTTACAAATTGCGATTTTTTCAAAAGAAACGCTAACTTATGTTTTACGATAGCAAAACGTTCCTCCGGCAAGTCCGTCAAAAAATGGTCAATTCTTCAAAATTACTATTAGAAAATAGCTTCACATGAAATTAACAAGATAAAAAGCAACTATAGTTTATATTTCTATTTATTTTCCCTGTTCCGTAGAACACTTATTATTTATTATATTTCAGATACAATTTAAATTGATTTTGATACTTGTCAAAATGTCAACAACGAAGTAGCCTTCGATTGTTTCGATATTTTATATCGAATGCGTTTACAACCAATCAAAAGCAGCCTACATTCAAAACTTTATCGTTTCTATTTTAAAAAAATAAAAAAATACTAAAATAGAATTGTTTTATTGATATAAATTGGAAATAATTTATAAAATTTAACAAAAATTGTAAGAAATGGAATTTTTGAACAATTATACTATGAAAAAGAAAGATTTGATTCTTCTATGTTTAAAATACCCGCTAATTGTGAGCAATGACCTATTTTAACCTGAGTGCATTTGCGCTGACAGTCTGTCACAAAAGGAATTCTTGCTCAAAAAGTTCGAGTCATTCGTAAACCTCAATTTTTTAGAGTAACATTTTAATAGTGATAATTATTAATGGAAGAAATAGGAATTATTTTACCAGACAAGGTAAATTGTTTACTATTTTAAACACTACTGACCTGTGTCAAAATATATCCTCTTTTCTTGTTTTTTGATTCTACCACTTTTTACAATTTTGACAAATTTTTATAAATAATACTCAATTTAAACAATTGGGATACTTTTGTAAATTTATATTCTTGCCTATAAACGATAATGCTATTGAAAAGCAACAATTTATTTCGTTAAATACGGTTATTTATTTATTTTTCCCTATGGGTGTTACTTAACCTCAAAAATAACAATAAGAATAAACCTATGGAGAAGTCAGGGAATTTTGATCGGTATCCTGGAAAATTGTTGTTTTCTAAAGTTATTGTTTTTATTCTTGAAATCTAATACAAAAGTTACAAATTTTTCTATTTCTGGCAATAATTTATTTTCAAATAACTAAAAAAAATTAAATTTTAGAGAAGTTATCAGTGGTTGTAGAAATTCAATTATTTACAAAAGTAATAAAATTCTCCGCACAAATTCAATTATTATGTTCCAAATTTTTAAAAATTCTAGTCAAAATTTCAATTATTTTTGAAAGTAATAAAATTCTTTTCCGAAATACAATTATTTAAAAAATTTTTAATAAAATTCTTCACAACATTTCAATTATTCAAATAAAATTTTAATAAAATTCTGCGAAAACATTTTATTATTTTCATAAATAATAAAAATTTTACAGGAATTCAATTATTTACAAACTTTTTATAAATTTCTTCGCATGATTCAATTATTTTCATAAATAATAAACTATTCTTACTTTAATTATTTTTATAAATAATAAAACACTTCTTCGAAATTCAATTATTTCCAAAAATTTTAATAAAATTCTTGGCAAAATTTAAATTATTTTCAAGAATTTTCCAGAAGAATTCAATTATTTAAAAAAATTTTTGATAAAATTCTACACAAACATTTAATTACTTTCAAAAATAATAAAAATTTTCCAGAAATTCAATTATTTAAAAATTTGTTCCTAAAAGTCTTTATGAGAATTCAATTTTAAGAAATATTCAATTATTCAATAAATTATTTATTTATGTAATTGAATTCTCGTAGAATTTTCTAATTAAAAATTGATTTAAAAATGAATTTTTAAAAAGTATCAAATTAAAATCTTTGAAAATTTGAATCTTTTAATCTTTTTACTAACATTTCTGTAGAATTAATGTTTTTGAAAAAGTTTAATTGAATTTTTTTTTAAAATTATTTGATGTTTTATTTTGTAATATATATTTAATTGAAGAATTTCCAAATAATCGAAATTTCGTAAAATTAAATAAAACAAATGGTTTTGAAAATTCTCTAAGAACTTTGTCAGAAATTATGAAAAATAGTTGATTTAAAGAAGAGTTTTAGTTGAAAATTTTAGAAAATAATAATTGAACTAAAATGATGAAACTAATAATGACTTTTGGATTATAGGACATGTGTGAAATCGAGTCCAAACCAGCAATTGGTCATTATGCTGCTTTGGAAGAGTTGGATATTGAAGATCTTTACACCAAGTACAAGAAACTACAGCGAATGTTAGAATTCCTGGAGGTGCAGGAAGAATATATAAAAGATGAGCAACGAAATTTGAAAAAGGAATATCTACACGCTCAGGAAGAGGTGAAACGAATTCAAAGTGTTCCATTAGTAATTGGACAATTCTTGGAGGCTGTCGATCAAAACACCGGAATTGTTGGTTCGACAACTGGTTCAAATTATTATGTTCGCATTTTATCAACAATCGATCGGGAATTATTGAAGCCATCTGCCAGTGTTGCTCTCCACAAACACAGTAATGCTTTAGTAGACGTTCTTCCTCCGGAGGCAGACTCCAGTATTTCGATGCTTCAAGCTGGCAAGTGTTTTGTCATTTTATTTTTTTATTATTAAATTTGCTTTTGATTAATTAATGTTGGTTTATATTAACAAACAGATGAGAAGCCTGACATTCAGTACAGTGACATTGGAGGAATGGATATGCAGAAACAAGAAATTCGAGAAGCTGTTGAATTGCCTCTTACACACTTTGAATTATATAAGCAAATTGGTATCGATCCCCCAAGAGGTGTATTAATGTATGGACCACCAGGATGTGGTAAAACTATGCTCGCTAAAGCTGTTGCAAGACACACGACAGGTGCGCTGTTTTTTATTATTAATTTTATTCAAATTTCTTGTTTTTTTCGAATTATAATACAGGATTGCCACACGTTAGGGTAAAGTCAGGGAATTTTATTAAAAAAAAACTGCAGAAAAATTATATTTTTAGAATTCATAAGAAAACTTTGAATTTTTGTGTCTTTTTTGTTTGTCTCATAAACTATGAAATTATCACAAATTCTAAAATAAATCCTTCAATTTTTTCCTTTAATTTTATTTTCATAAAATTATTGCTTATAAATTATTTAATGCATAATTTTATAAAAGAAGTTTTAAAAATAATTGAATTTTGAAGTTACAAATTCAAATCTTTGGAAAATATGAATTTTTACAACTTTTAATTAATAATTCTGTAGAACTAATTTTTTTGAAATTAGTTGAATTTTTTAATTAGGGGTCGTTCACAAACTACGTCACACTCCTAGGGGTTGGGGGGGGGGGGTGTTGAGCTGTGTGTGACGAAGTGTGGAAAAAATTTTTTTATGTATGTAAAAAATGTCACGAAGGGGGGGGGGTAAAAATCAGTCAAAAAAAGCGTGACGTAGTTTGTGAATGACCCCTTATTATGTTTAATATTATTTCAAGAAATTTCACGCAATTCTTCAAAACAATTCAATTATCATGCTATATATAAAAAAATTCTTTCCAGAAATTCAAATATTTTCAGGAATTTAAATAAAATTCTTTGAACAATTAAATTATTTTCATATATAACAATAATTATCACAAGAATTCAATTATTTGCAAAAGTAATAAAATTCTTCGCAAAAATTCAATTATGTTCAAAATTTTTTTTAAATTTCAATTATATTTATAGATAATAAAATTCTTCTCCGAAATCCAATTATTTTCAAAAAATTTAATAAACTTCTTGTCCAAATTTGAATTATTTTCAAAAGATTTTTCGCAATTTAATTATTTTCAATATCTACTGCTTTCATAAAATTTCCCAAAAGAATTGAAGTTATTTAAAAACATTTTGATAAAATTCAACGCAAACATTCAATTATTTTGATAAATAATAAAAAATTCCTTTAGGAAATCCATTATTTTCATCAATAATAAAACACGTAGCAGAAGTTTAATTATTTTTAATAAAATTTATAAAAATTCTCGTCAAGATTTCAATTTTCTTTTATAAACAAGAAATATATTCGTAAAAATTCAATTATTTTCATAGGTAATAAAATTTTAACAGGAATTCAATTACTTAAAATACAATATTCATAAAATTTTTTAAATAAAATCTATTATTTAATAAAAAATTTTATCAAATTCTACGCAGGAATTCAATAACAAAATTAATAAAAATTTTCACCAGAATTAAAAATGTTTTAATAAAATTCTTCGTTAGAATTCAATTTAATAAATTTTAATTAAATTCTTCGCAGATATTTAATTTTTTTCATAAATAATACAATTTTAACAGGAATTCAATTACTTAAAATACAATTTTCATAAAAATTTTCAAATAAAATCCATTATTAATAGAAATTGTTATCAAATTCTACGCAGGAATTTAATAACAAAATTAATAAAAATTTTCACCAGAATTAAAAACGTTTTAATAAAATTATTCTAAGTTAGAATTCAATTTAATAAATTTTAATTAAATCCTTCGCAGGTATTTAATTTTTTTCATAAATAATAAAATTTTAACAGGAATTAAATTATTATTACGGAATTTTCATTAAATTCATAAAAATATTATTTTCAAAAATTTTAATAAAATTCTTCGAAGAAATCCATTTATTTTCAAATATTATAAACTTATCGCTAGATTCAATAATTTTTAATACAATTTTAAATGAATTCCAAGTAAAATGCAATTATTCTTAAGAATTTTATTAAAATTCTTCGCAAACATTCAATTATTTTCACAAAAAATAATTTTTTACTGGAATTCAATTATTTAAAAAATTTTAATAAAATTCTTTGTAAGTATTCAATTATTTGAATAAATATTAAAATTCTTAACTGAGATTCAATTATTTTAATAAATAATAACATTCTTTTTAGGAATTGAATAAGTTTCTTTTAACAATAAAATTTTTCTGAAATTATTAGAAGTTTTTATTTTCTACTTATATTTAATTGAAGAATATTTCCTTATAATCGAAATTTCGTGAAATTGAATTGTAAACAAATGGATTTAAAAATTCTCAAAGAACTTTTTCAAAAATTGTTAAAAATAATTGAATAAAAAACCGTAAAAGTCATTTTCACTATCAATTTATTATGTGAAAATAACTCTTACGGTTTTTCGGAGTTGAGGTATCAAACTAAAATTTTTCTAAATCTAAACTTTCATACTTTTTATTAACAATTCTGTCAAACTAATTTTTTTGAAAAATTTTAATTCAAATTTTTTTGAAACTATTTGAAATTTTTATTTTCTAATATATATTTAATTGAAAAATTTCCGAATAATCGAAATTTCGTAAAATTAAATAAAACAAATGGATTTAAAAATTCTCTAAGAACTTTGTCAGAAATTATTAAAAATAATTGATTTAAAGAAGGGGTCGTTCACAAACTACGTCACACTCCTAGGGGTGGGGGGGTGTCGAGCTGTGTGTGACGAAGTGTGGAAAAAATTTTTTTATGTATGTAAAAAATGTGACGAAGGGGGGGGGGGTAAAAATCAGTCCAAAAAAGCGTGACGTAATTTGTGAATGACCCCGAAGAGTTTTAGTTTAAAATTCTAGAAAATAATGAAAATAATTTTGAAGAAGTTACAGTAACAATATTCTTATAATATAAAATAATTATTTTATCACTCGGTCATTTTTAATTATTATAAAACATAAGTCGAAGACTCGGAGTCATTAATGTCTTTATGTTTCATAATAAAATATTTTTATAAGTTGTGGAATTTCAAAAAGGTTTGAATTTGAACGTTTTGAAGAATTTTAATTTCTATGGAAAAATAATAATGATTGAATATTTATTTAAAAATGAAGTTATTGATGTTTTGGAATAATTTTACAATTAAAGAAATTCGCAAATAAGTGTAAAAGAATATTCTTTTTGAGTATCTAATCATTTTTAGAATGAATCAGAATATTTTTTAGAGTCAGGGCAAAAGTGAAAATTCTGTCTGGAAATCAGGGGAAATGAAAATTAAATTTTTGTGGCAACCCTTTCATTGCATAACTTTTATTGTCAACAGCTGCATTTATTCGCGTCGTGGGTTCGGAATTCGTGCAGAAATACTTAGGAGAAGGTCCTAGAATGGTTAGAGATGTCTTCCGTCTAGCGAAAGAAAATTCACCAGCAATCATTTTTGTCGATGAAATTGATGCAATTGCAACGAAACGTTTCGATGCCCAAACTGGAGCCGATCGTGAGGTTCAACGTATTCTTCTTGAATTACTAAATCAAATGGATGGTTTCGATCAAACGACAAATGTCAAAGTGGTCATGGCCACAAACAGGTAATTTACTCTTACCAATTAATTCTAATTTAATGACTATAATTTACTATTTACTATTAATTTCTCGCCGTCTTTTTAGGGCCGACACATTGGATCCAGCGCTTTTACGTCCTGGTAGATTGGACAGAAAAATTGAATTCCCACTGCCAGATCGTAGACAGAAGCGTTTGATATTTTCAACGATAACAACAAAAATGAATTTGAGTGAAGAGGTTGATTTGGAGGATTACGTTGCCCGACCGGACAGAATTTCCGGCGCTGATATCAATGCAATTTGTCAAGAGGCCGGTATGCATGCAGTGAGGGAAAATCGTTACATTGTTCTCGCTAAAGATTTCGAGAAGGGCTACAAGAATAATATCAAGAAAGACGAGTCTGAACATGAATTCTATAAATAAAAAATCAGCGTTAGAAAATTGAACCCCATTTTTTTCTGACTTACATATATTTTAAGCTATTGTAATTGATTTATACATTAAATACTAATTGATTCACAATACTGTGTATTTCAATTCCATATTCTTTTCTCTAAAGATAATTAGTTTTCCTTAAAAGATGCATAATTAAGAACAATTTTGTTTATAAAACTTAAAATTGTTTTTCTTTAAGCCACTCAGTAGTGACATCTGTATCAAAAGTAATATTTCCGCGAATATTTGAAAAATTTGCTATTTTATTTTTTTATACAAAAACTTTCTTTTGTATTATTTATTGAAATTTTTAGTAATAACCATAAAAACTAATAAATCATGTTCAACACAGATGCTTATATAGAAAACGGCCTTGGAATTTAGTTTGCAATTACCCAACAAGCGTTCTGGATCTTTCTACTATTTACTAACCCAACCTTGTGAATTTTAAAAAAAGAAATGAACAGCTGATTGAAAGTTTGTCAGCAGTTAGCTTTGTTAGCTTTACATTGCATAAAGTTAAATGTTTTAAACAGTTATTTATTAATTAGTGTTTATTATATTATGGTGATAAAGTTAGAGTGGTAACAAATGAAACGTAATCAGAATCAAATTATAAAATCGAATGCTGATTCAGCTCCAAAATCAGAATTAGAAAAACAGTGTCAATGTTGTTCGTTGGATTGTTATTGTGATGTATTTATTAGTAAGTTGCTTCAAAACGTATCTAAACCGTTTTTGTTTCTTATCTTATTTTTTAATTTAATTAATTATTATTACATATTATTGTAGTTTAAAAAATTGAAAATTTTTTTTTTGGAGTAAGTTAGTCATTGTAATTAAAGTTCGACGGATGTTATTTCAAAATATTTGGTCGATTTAGTCTATAACGTCTCTAATGATAATAATTGCATTATATTCATTATTCTTTGAGGTTATCTTTGTACTGATCCTGAAATTCAACTATTATTCCAATTTTTATTTCTGATTTTTAATTAAACTTTTTATGCAAGATGCATAAAAGTGCATAAAAGATGCAGTTTTTTTTAGATGACAATAAACTAAAAAAAAATTTTATTTCTAAGGCTCTAAAGCAGTGAATTATATTAAACTCCGAAAAATTTAATATATCTCAGGGTTGTCACAGGTCAATAAAGTCAGGGAATTCAGAAAAAAGTCAGGAAAAGTGGAATTAATAAGGAAAATCAGAGAAAGTCGGGGATTTTTATTAAAAGTACTGTAAAAAATTAAATTTTTAGAATTCTTAAGAAAATTCTTTATTTTGGAGTATTTTTTTGTTTGCCTCAAACTATGAAATTACCATGAATTCTAATGCAAAACCTTCAAATATTTCTATTTCTGACAATAATTTCTTTTAAATTAACTTAATTTTTGAAGAACCTATCATAAAATTATTAATTATAAATTATTTATTGAATAATTTTATTTAAATATTTAAAAATGAATGAATTTTCAAAGAGTTGAGTTTACACCTAGATGAACTTCCAAAGGTTTCAATTTAAAATTTTAGAAAATTTCAATTTTGAATGAATTTTATTAGAAATTTTAAAGAACTTAGATTTTTTGAAAAGTTTTAATAATTCAAATTTAACTTAGTTACATTTTTTAATATATATTTAATTAATTATTAAAAATAATGGATTTATAGAAAAATAATAAAAAAAAAATAATAATAATAATATAATAATAATTAATATATTTAATTATATAATAATTTTTATTTTTTTTATAGTAAAAAACACTAAAAAAATTGATTTTTTGAAAAGTTACAAATGATTGCAGAAATTCAATTATTTTCAAAAGTAATAATTGCAAGATTCAATTACGTCTAAAGATTCAAAAAGATTCTACTCCGAAATTCAATTATTTAAAAAAATTCTAATACAATTCTTGTCAAAATTTCAATTATTTACAAAAAATTTTTCTAAATTTAATGATCTTCAATATCTTTTATTTTAATAAAATTTTCCAAAGGAATTCAATTATATTTACAACAAATTTTTTTAAAATTTTAGACAAACATTTAATTACTTTAATAAATAATAAAAATTTCGTAGGAATTCAATTATTTAAAACATTTTAATAAAATTCATCGCAATAATTAAATTTTTCTCATACATAATAAAATTCTTCACTGCAATGCAATTATTTTCATAAATAATAAAATTCTTTAGATAAATTCAATTATTTTTAATATAATTTTAATAAAATTCCTCGCAAAAATTTAATTATTTTCTTAAATAATAAAACTTTTACAGGAATTCAATGACTTAAATTCTAAACTACAATTTTTCATCAAATTTTTCGAGAAAAATCAATTATTTAAACAAATTTTAATAAAATACTTCGCGAGACTTCAATTATTTTTATAAACAATAAAATGTATTGTAGAATTTCAATTATTTTCTATAAAATTTATAATAAATTCCTGGAAAAATGCAATTATTCTTAAAAATTTTATTAAAATATTGTTCTCAAACATTAAATTATTTTCATAAATAATAAAGTTTTAACTGAAATTCAGTTATTTAAAATACAATTTTCATAAAAATATTCAAAAAAAAATATCAATTGCTTAAGAGAATTTCTATAAATTTCTGCATAAGAATTTAAATATTTTTACAAAATATCAAATTTTTCCCTGGAAATAAAATTTTCACAAGAATTCAATTATTTAAAAATTTTTAATAAAACTCTTTGCAAGAATTCAATTATTTTCACAAATAATAAAAATTTTTACACGAACTCAATTATTTTCATAAATAATAAACTTATCGAAGGTTTTAATTATTTTTAATACAATTTAAAATAAATTCTAGGTAAAATGAAATTATTTTTAAAAATTTTATAAAAATTCTTCGCAAACATTGAATTGTTTTCACTAAAAATAAAATTTTTCACTGGAATTCAATTATTTAAAAAATAATAACATTTTTTACTGGAATTCAATTATTTTTACAGAATTTAATAAAATTCTTCGTAGAAATTCAATTATTTTCGAAAATTTAAATACAATTCTTTATAAAATTTCAATTAATTTTAACATAATTTAAATTAAATTCCTCTCGAAAGAAGTCAATTACCTTCATTATAAAATGTTTATTAAATTCCTAAAAAGATTATTATCAAAAATTTTAGTAATGTTCTTTTAGCAAGAATTAAATTGTCTTCATGAAATTCAAATTATGTTCAAAATTTTAAAAAATTTTCGTCAAAATTTCAATTATTTTCAATAGTAATAAAATTCTTCTCCAAAATTCAATTATTTTCAAAAATCTCTTTAATGATTTAATTTTAATGATTTTCAATATCTTTTATTTTAATAAAAATTTCCAAAAAAATTCAATTATTTAAAAAAAAATTTAATATATAATTCTACTCAAACATTTAATTATTTTCATAAATAATAAAAATTGATATAAATATGAATTTTAGTTACAATAGATAATAATTGAATATTAAAAGCAATATGGCGTGAATTTTAAAAAGATTTCAAATTAAAATCTTTGAAAATCTGAATTTTTCATACGTTTAACTAACAATTCTGTAAAATTATTTTTTTTGAAAAAGTTTAACTGAAGTTTTTTTAAATTATTTAAAGTTTTTCTTTTGTAATATATATATATATATATATATATATATATATATATATATATATATATATTTAATTGAAGAATTTAAAAATAATCGAAATTTTGTAAAATTGAATTTTAAATACATAAATGGATTTAAAAATTCTTAAATAAAATTTTGAAAAATTATTAAATTAATTGAATTTTAGTTAAAAATTCTAAAAAATAAAAACTTGTTTTCTTCTATAGGACATGAGTGGACATGGGACTCGTCGTTGGCGTCGACGAAAGTGAAATTATTTAAAGACAATTTGGCAGTAAAATTCAATCCAGGTTACAGTAACGGAACGACTGCAATACGTGGATCAGAATGTCTTCCAAAAGGAAGACACCATTATTGGGAAATAAAAATTCTAACACCTGTTTATGGTACAGATATTGTAAGCATCACATCATTTTCTGTTTGTAATTCAATCGACTTTCATGATTAAAATTTCTGGGAATTAATATTTTTTGTTCTAGATGGTGGGAGTGGGAACGAAGAACGTTAAAACGAGACTAGAAACGTATTGTTCACTTTTGGGTCGTGATTGTGAATCGTGGGGACTTTCGTATCGAGGATATATTCAGCATGGAGGAGTGAGGAGTAAATATTGTGGAGGTTTTGTTAATGATAATGTAGTTGGAATTCATTTAGATACATGGAAAGGAACTCTTCAATTTTTCGTCAATAGAATACCATTAGGTATGTGTAAATTTTAATTGTATTTTTCCGTCTTTATATTCGAAATTATACTTTGAGAGAAAAATATTTTCTTCTTCTTCTTGTCAATTCTTCAGGAGTTGCTTTCACTGGCCTTAGAGATAGACAATTGTATCCAATGGCTTGTTCAACGGCTGCAGAAAGTAATATGCGAATAATTTACAATTCATCCGAACCAGCTTCCCTGCAAATGGATTGTTTGGAAATTCTCAAACCGATCCATCGAGCTTATCTTTGCGCTGCATTTCCAGGAATGAGACACATTTTTAAAAGTGTTTTCGCTGATATTCTTCGAAAAAATCACGGTACGTTTGGTAATCTTTACAAATTTTCTAAATTCATTTCAATTAAAGTCACAGGCTTCGCACTCGATAATTAATTTTTTTAAAATATCAAAAAGTAACTTTAAGTCTGTAAAAAAGTAGTAAAAAAGAAGTTATTGAAAAATTAAATACTTAAATACTAAATCTTTACAAAATTGAATACTTTTCTAAATTTCAATTTGAAATTCTTCAAAAATACGATTATATTTAAAAACTTTTGTACGGATTGAAATAATGATAAATAATAATAAAATAAAATAAAATAATAATAATAAACAAATAAATAAAGGATTAAATTTAACAATAATTAAATATAATTTAAAATCTTCTTAAAAATTTAACGCTTTCTAAACATATTGTAATTCTTTTAAAACACAATCATTTTTCTGTTAAAAATTCTGAATAAAATCAGTCAAAACTTTAAGTATTTTTTAAGAGAATAATAAATTAATATTTTTTTTAAATAAAAATTTTAGTACTATTAGTTTTACAACAATTAAAATTTTCAAAAGTTTCAATTTAAAAATCTTTTGAAACTTAATTATTTCTAGAAATTCATTATAATAACGCTTTTAATATTCAATTAATATCTAAAATTTTAACTGAAATTCCTTTTTAAATCAATTCTTATTAGAAACTTTTACAAGAACTCAATTTACTTAAATGTAAAAATAAATAATTTTTTGAAAAATTTAATATTTCTTAAAATTGAATTCTTACAATGAATTTTATCAAATTTTTTTTTAAATAGTTGGATTTTTTCGAAGAATTTTAATAAAATTTTTACGAATAATTGCATTTTTCAGGAAATTCATTTAAATTACGTATTAAAAATAATTGAAATAATTGGATATATATTTATTATTTACGAAAATAATTAAATATATTATGCGAAGAATTTTATTAAAAGTTTTGAAAGTAATATCAGGAATTTAATGAAAAATCTGTTAAAATCTGTTAAATCCTGTTAAAATTTTATTACTTATGAAAATCCTTGAATTTCTGCGAAAAATTTCATTAAAATCTATTAAATTAATTGAATTCTTGCCAAGAATTTTATAAAAAATCATTTAAATAATTATTATTTAAAAATTCATTTAAATAATTATTATTTAAAAGTTCATTTAAATAATTATTATTTTATAAAATTTTTATAAATAAGAATTTTATAAAAAATCATTTAAATAATTATTATTTAAATGAATTTTAATAAAATTCTTGGCAAGAATTCAATTAATTTAATAGATTTTAATGAAATTTTTCGCAGAAATTCAAAGATTTTCATAAGTAAAAAAAATTTTAACAGGAATTCAATTATTATTTTTCCAGATTTTAAAAATATTCGTAAATAATAAATTTATCGAAATATTTTAATTATTTTTAAAACGTAATTTAAATGAATTTCCTGAAAAATGCAATTATTCGTAAAAATGTTATTAAAATTCTTCGAAAAAATTCAATTATTTTTAAAAAAATCAATTATTGATTTTTTTTAAAAAGAATTTTGTGAAAATTGCATTTTAAATGATTGAATTTCTGTTAAAATTTTATGAAGTTTTTTGATATATTATATAGACCTTTATGGAGTTTTTTTTTAAACTTAAAAATTCTCAATTTCTTGACCAAAGGCCACAACAAAAAATTCCAAACAGTTAAAATTTTATTATCTATGAAAATAATTTAATGTTTGTGAACAATTTTAATAACATTTTTAAGAATAATTGCATTTTTTGGGGAATTTATTTAAAATTGTATAGAAAATAATTGAATTCTTACAATTTTATCAACAAATTTAATTAAAATTTTATTGAAAACAATTCAATTTCTATATGAAATTTTATTAACATATTTGAAAATAATTGAATTCTTTTGGGTAATTTTATTAAAATAATAGATATTGAAAATAATTGAACTTCTGCGAAGAATTTCATTAAAACATATTAAATTAATTAAATTCTTACGAAGAGTTTTATTAAAATTTGTTTAATTTTGGTGATAAATTTTATTATTTTTGAAAATAATTGATTTCTTTAGAAATATTATATAAAAATTTTATTCCATTTTAAATAAATAAATGACTTCGAAGAATTTCATTAAAATTCATTAAACTAATTAAATTGTTATGAAGAATTTTATTGAAATTTGTTTAATTCTAGTGAAAAATTTTATTATTTGTGAAAATAATTGAATTCTTGCGAAGAATTTTATAAAAATGCTTTCAAATAATTGAATTCTTTAGGGAATTTTTTTTATAATAGTAAATATTGAAAATAATTGAATTTCTAAAATCTTTTAAAAATAATTGAATCGTTTCAAAGAAATTTTATTAAAATGTTTTGAATTGTTTTTACGAATTTGATTAAAATTTATAAGAATAATTTGTTTGTATTAACTATTAGCGCTTTTAAAGTAGTGCAAATCTAAAGAAAAAGAGGAATGTAGATTTTAGTGTAATAAATCAAAAAAAAAAGTATCCAAATGGTAGCAAATCTTAAAAAAGTAGTAAATAGTAGGTTTTAGTAGTTAATTAATTAATTAATTTTAATTTTCGTAAGTGCGAAGCCTAAACTCAATTAAATGTTATGAATTATTTGAATATAAATATTATTAATAATTTTTCAGATGAGGATGACGAGAATGAGGATGAATTTCTCAAAAAATTCTCATCTCTTGAGAAATTTGATAGTTCATTTACGTTTGAAACCGAGGAATCAAAACGTAGTCGTTTAGACAATTGGCAACCATCTACACTGCAAATTGACTCTTTGAATATATAAAATTACAAATTACATTTAGTGACTTAAAAAAAAATTTTCGTTCATTTTTTACTTTTTGTGATTGAATTCGTCTCATCAAAATAGTGTAATGATCTCAATGATTATAATTTTTTAACTAATGAATGGAAATTAATTTTAAAAATTTTAAACAATCTACTTCGTAATATTTTACAACGAAAAAAATGTTTTAGAAAAAAAAAAATTTTATTGTATCAAAAAATAATTTATAAATTAATTTTAAATAAGAAAAACAGCTGTTATTATTTTCTTTTCCTTTACCTCTAATATTTGAGTTTGATTCAACTTTCCTTAAGTTTCTTCTTCGCTTTCTTCAATACACCGCCACTTTTTCGTTTTGTCTTCTCCTTTGACTGGGACGATGATTGATTGTTGATTTTTGCACAAAAAACAATTGCCTGAGCCCATCCGGCGAGAGGACCCCATAATTCTCGTAAACATTCGCTGACTTCTTGATGAACTTTCGGCGTGACGCTTTTTTGCTTTTTTAAATGAGGCATATAATTAGCCATGGCGACTTGATAAATGTGTGTGTCAACTGGAATTGCCTCTAAATGTCCCAGAGACATTAGGCAAATGCAATCGGCAACCTTTGGACCAACTCCAGATAGAGTTACGAGATTTTCCTTTGCCAATTCGTACGTTGAACTGTCTTTATGAAAATCTGTCAGCCATTTACGTCCGCCTAAAGTCAATAATTGTTTCGCCGTATTCGCAATATAAGATGCTCGATATCCAAAGCCCTCTTTTCGCAATATCGATTCAACATTGTCCGCAGCAAGTGAATTGATTTTTGGAAAATCGTAATATTCCTTACCGTCGAGATCGCAGATTTTTTCACCAAAGAAACGACTTAGTTTCTCAACCATACTGGAAATTCTAAACAATAATTTAGATTAGTAAATATTTCAATAAATTTAAATACTTAAAAGATACTTTTTTCAATTTATTGATTTTAATAGATTTTAATTAATTTCACTTTATTTCACTTACCGAACGATATTATTATTTGAACTACAGATAAAAGAGAAAAGATTCTCAACGACATCTTGATTTAAAATTCTCACTCCATCAACTTTTTCAAGGGCTTTTTTGAAATGTTTATCGGTAGCTGACCATTTTTCTAGATTCTCCTTCAATGACACATCGAAACGAAAATAGTCTGATAATAGTTTTTCGCAATTTATATCTTCCGAAAGTCCATGTATTGTGTAATGAAGATTATAGTCATCTTGTGCTAAAGTCCAAACTTGTCCCGCGAAAACTCCTCTAAAAGCTTTTTCATTTTCCAAACTGACCCACCTGTGGAAATTATAATAAAACTTAAAAATTATTCGTAATACATTTAAACAGTTTTAAACATTAATTTAATTCAAATTCGGACTTTTTCCCCGACCCTAAAAACAGGGCTCGGATCGTCTTTAAGACACAAAAAAAGTCGCTTTAGTCGCAAAAATTCACAACAAAAGTCACGAAAACTCGCATAAAATCTCTGAAAAAGTCGTAAAAAAGTCGCATGAAATTTTAGAAAAACGACCAAAAAGAAACAAGAAATTGTAAAAATTGTAAAAAAAATCACATTTCTCGACGACTCATACCTTAATTTCAACCAATCCGGAATTCAATTTTAATAAAATTCTTAGCAAAATTTTAATTAGGTATTTTTAACATTTTTTTAAAAATTCTCTTTAAAAATGTAAATTATTTTTATAAATAATAAAATTCTTCACCAAAATTCAATTATTCTAAAAAATTTTAATAAAATTCTTGTCAAAATTTCAATTATCTTTATAAATAATATAAAATTCATCCTAGAAATTCAATTATTTTCAAAAGTAATAAAATTCTTCGTAGAAAATCAATTTTTTTCAAAAGTAATAAAATTCTTCGCAGAAATTCAATTATTTTCAAAAATTGTTTTAAATTTCTCAAAAATTTCGTCAAAATTTTTATTATCTTCATAAATAATAAAATTCATCCTGTAAATTTAATTATTTTCAAAAGTTCTGATAAAATTTCCTGCAAAATTCAATTATCTCCAAATGTAAGAAAATTCTTCGCAGAAATTCAATTATTTTAAAAAAAATTTTTTAAATTCTCGTCAAAATTTCAATTATCTTTATAAATATCAATATTCTTTAGCAAAATTCAATTACTTTTAAAATTTTTTTTAAAATCTGTTTAGAATTTCAATTATCTTTATAAATAATAAAATTCTTCTTTGAAATTCAATTATTTGCAAAAATTTTAATAAAATTCTTGTCAAAATTTCAATTAAGGAGCATTCACAAATGATGTCACGCAATTTTTCGGGATCTTAGACCCCCCCCCCTCCCCCCTGTCACGCAATTTCATGCAATTTCACATGTAAAAATACATTGTGTCACGTTTAGTAGAGACCCTCCACCCTCCCCTCAAAAAACGTGACATCATTTATGAACGCTCCCTTATCTTTATAAATAATAAAATTCATCCTGTAAATTTAATTATTTTCAAAAGTTCTGATAAAATTCTCTGCAAAATTCAATTATCTTCAAATGTAAGAAAATTCTTCGCAAAAATTCAATTATTTTCAAACATTTTTTAAAAATTCTCCTCAAAATTTCAATTATCTTTATAAATATCAATATTTTTCTTCAAAATTCAATTTACTTTATAAATTTTTTTAAAAATCTGTTTAAAATTTCAATTATTTTTATAAATAATAAAATTCTTCTCTGAAATTCAATTATTTGCAAAAATTTTAATAAAATTGTACGCAAGCATTTAATTATTTTCATAAATAATGAAAATTTTACAGGAATTCAATTACTTACTAATTTTTTATAAATTTCTTTGCAATAATTCAATTAGTTTCATAAAAAATAATTAATAAAAATTTTTTTTTTATAAAGTCTTATAAAATAATGATTTTATCACCCGGTCATGTTTTATAACAAGTTTTTATAAGTTGTTTAATTTCAAAAAGGTTTGAATTTGCATGTTTTAAAAATCTTAATTCCTATGGAAAAATAATTATAATTAAATATTTATTTAAAATAGAAGTTATTGATGTTTTAGAAAAATTTGAAAGAAATTTGTAAATAAATGTAAATTATTTCCATATGAAATTGAGAATTTCCTAAACAAATATTAAGAAACGGAAATATGTTATGTTTTTTCCTCAAAGAGAAGAATGATTTTGTGAACAATATTTTTTACAGAAAAAAATTTCTGCTATTTAAAATTTAAGTCGAAAAGTAATTGTAAGATGTGAAAAAAGCCAATAAGTCGCATTTTACTAAGAAAAAACATCTCGAAAAAGTCGATTAGTAGCATTTTTTCACAAAAAAGGTGAAAAAACATTTATCCGAGCCCTGTAAAAAATATTCTGATTCACTCTAAAAATTATTAAGGCTTCACACTCATCTACTAAAACCAACTATTTAGTATTTACTACTTCTTTTTAATTTATGACACTAAAAGCTACTTTTTTCTTGAGAATTCGCACAACTTTAAATTCATTTAAAGTTGAAAAATAAAAAATTATTCTCAAAAATTGTAATATTTCTTAGAAACGATTCAATTATTTTCAATATCTAATAATATAATAAAATTTTCCAAAAGAATTCAATTATTTTCCAGTATTTTAATAAAATTATATATAGGAATTGAATTATTTTCAATAAAATTATAATTAAATTCATCGAAAAAAATTGTAAGAAATCAATTATGTTTTCTCATACATAATAAAATTTTTCGCAAGAATACAATTATTTTCATAAATAATAAAATTCTCTATATATAAATTCAATTATTTTGAATATAATTTCAATAAAATTCTTCGCAGAAATTTAATTACTTTATTCTTAAATAATAAAACTTTCATAGGAATCCAATGATTTAAATTACAATTTTTCATAAAATTTTTCGAACAAAATCAATTATTCTAATAAATTTTTATACAATTCTTTGCAAGACTTCAGAATTTTTAATTACAATTATTTAAAATTAAAAATTTCTAAAATTTTAATTTGAAACCTTTTGAAATTGAATTGTTTATTAAAATTGTAAACGCAACTTTTCTAAAAATCAACAATTTTTGGACGTTTTAAATATAATTATTCCTTAAATTATTTATAAGTAATAATTTTATTACAGTTTTTTAAGAATTAAATTACATAAATTGCCCTAAACTGAATTTAATTTCATATTCTGTAAATAGTTTAGTTCATCGTTCAATTATTGTCTGAAATAGAAAAAACTTAAGGTTTTGTATTAAAATTCGTATAGGAACGAATTTTTTTCCATATGACTTTTGTTGAAATTCCCTGACTTTTCCTTGATTTCAAAATTTGAAAAATTATTGCTACACGCGCAAGCGCAAATATTTAGCCGAATTTTTTTATAGGTTATGTTGATTCTAATCATTTAAAAATTAATTTTTTTTCTGGAAAAAAAGAATGAAACTTACCTGAAACTTTGTCCACCGTTTAATGTAATTCCAAGATCTAATTCTTCCTTTCTGCATTTTATTTGTCCTGTCTTCATTTTTGTTTCATTTGATAAAATTTGTTTATGTTGAAATTTTAAAAACTTTCTGTTTTGTACAATTATTTTAAAACATTCCTTTCCGTGGAACGTGATTTTAATGTATTTAAAAAACACTTTATAACGAAATAAATGAAATTATTAGTTTTATTTTTTTGCTATTTCACAAACACAAAGAACACAAAGGATACAAATTGTAATGTTTTGATTTTGAGAATTTCAGAAAGGACAGCATGGAGTCAGGGGCGTATATATTATGTGGACGCAGTTTGTGGATTTCCGCATGGATTTCTTTATATTCTTAATAAACACAAAATATGAACGAAAACCTCTTTAAAAATGCAGAAAGTAGTGAGTGAGACCCTTTGGGGTCTCAGAATTCGAATTTGATGTTTATTTCTAAAAATATTTAAAAATTGAAAAAATAGAAAATTTCCATGTGAATTATTTCAAATCTCCGCATGGATTTCTGCGTAAATTTCCATGTGGAAAGTCCAGGCGGACTTTTTTAGTTGGGGAAGAACAAGGAAAGTAAAGAATCAGAGTAGTATAATGATTAATAATTAGTAAACCGAGCTTGTCTAAAACTTACAAGTTTTTCAATAAACAGGCCGGGGACACAAAATATATTCATAAAATTTAAATATAAATAAGCAAATAAATAATTTAAAAATATACATATTATAAAATACGGAATCAAAAAGGTTATTATAAACCAATTTTTAAATTTGTAAAATATCCTCAGGTTATACTATACCCAGCTTAATTAATTACAAAATTAGAAAAAATCTTTAATTTTCTGGGTGCTTTACGTCAAAAGTTAGTTAATAACCACAATTATTTGTTTAAACAATAATTAAATTGTCAATTGCTTCCTCATAGAGGAAGGATTGTATTAGCAAAATTTTCTATTGCGATTTTTTTAAATATTTATAAACTTATTTCCATTATACCTAATCTTTTATTACTTTATGTACGAATGGGCTTCGATGTAATTTGACCTCAGAAGTCCAAAAAACGGATTTTAAAAAATGCCCCTTTTGTGTCAATTTGCCTCAATATCTCAGAACGAGAAAGAGCTAAAGGCTTCAATTTTTTTAAATTGTAGGTCTCCCCGGGGGACATAAAATGAGAGTATTTTCAGCCCAATTCATAAAGTATAACTATATTTTTTTTGCATTTTTCATTTTGAAAAAAAAAACATTTTTTAGTCATAACTTAAAAAATGTTAGGACACCGATAAATGTTTTTCTTTAATTTTATAGTGTTTTTTCAGACGCATCATTTGAGCCTTCAATGAGCATTTTTCGTCCATATTAGCTAGAGATATTAAAGTTTTAAAAATCTAAATTTTTCAAAAATAATACTTTTTTGAAAATTTTGTTGAAAAATGTAAAAGTAACTTTAAAAGTATCATTACCAACTTGTAGAGCATTAAAAAACGCTTCGATTGACCTATTTTTGAACCTGATGTGATCAGAAATTATCAAATTATTGGTGTTTAAATATATAAATAAGCAAAAATTTGTGGAAAATATCATTTTTTTAACATTCTTATTTATTAACTTATGTGTAATTATTAAACTCTTATAACCATCTTATAGAATTTATAAAAACACATTTTTTGGACCAAGATTTAATGATTTTTAACCCTTTTATAAAAAGTAATTTTTATATTTCAATTATTATTATTTCTATATTATTTCTATAATAAGCAAAGTGTTCAATAAATAAACACCAAAATTATAAAAATGTACAACTTGGCAACGGTTTTTTATATCCTGTAACTCATCGAATTTTTCACCAAAACGGTTCTAAGACCACTCAAAATTTCCCAAAATTAACAAGGAATACGCCCATATAAATAAGCCCAATAGTGCCAAAGTGGTCCCTTTTCATGCGGACGTCCTTATATAGTAGTCTGTTTAGGTTTTCCCGCTAAAAATTCTAATTATAAATTGCACACAATTAATTCGTTTATTATATTCTTATGCATAAAATATTATTTTACATATTTACAAATAAAAAGTACTTCACCATATTTTTATTATATAATGATTTAAATACCTGAAATATTATAATTTAAAATTTTTCTGTAGGGATCTGTAGTAATTACTAGTATGTAAAACAAGTTGCATACTATTAGACGAAAAGAATAATTAAAAACTGAATAAAAAATTTCCAGTTCTTTTTTAAAACATTTCTGGACTATAGGTATTTGTATTTAATTTTTCTACATTATAAAAAATGGTTACAAATTTTATTAATAGTAATTTTAATGTAATTTTATAAATTTCTTAACTATCTTATTTTCTTTATTTATAACTAATATTATATTTTATTTTTATTTTCTTATTTTATTAAATTTAATTTTTTTATATTAATTTTTTATTGATATGTTTCTATTAATTCGTATAAAATTTGTGATTTTCAAAAAATGCGATTGTCTTTGGTATCTATAATTTACTCTAAGTAGAAATTTTTCTTTTCGTTATTGATAATCTTTTTCAGATATTTGTTAAAAATTTAAATTAATTACCTATAGATTTAAAAACAGATAGAAAAAAATAATCTTTTAAAACTAAATTTTAAATTATAATCCAATGGGTAGAAAAACAAATTTAATCAAAATAAAATAAATAAAATGAAGAGGTTGTTCTGAAAATCTGGAACTTGTTACATAAAAGTCATCAAATGTCATCAAAATCATGAAAACGGAAAGTAACAGTAAAAATGTACGAAATGTTTGTAAATATTATATTAGCACTTTAAAAAAAGATTACTTATCAATCGGTCATGCGATAATTTTTTTTATTTATTATCATTTCCCTCAAAATAATTAGATGATAATTTTCAATATCAAAATTTAAAAAAATCGGGAAATAAATTACAAATTAGTAATAAATATTATTAGATAAATCAATATAAAAAACAAATTGATAAAAATATAAACAATAAAATTTTATTAAATATAGAAAATTAATATCTATTATCACATGGTTCATGTATAAATTAAACAATTTATAATTATAATTATATTTTCAATAACAACTGTAATTGTAAATTATTCGTAATAATCACAATCATAATTTTATTATTATAATCACGACAAATAGAAATATTATAATTATAATTTGTCTGATTATAATAAATTTATAAGTAAATAATATTATGATAAAAAATTCTATAATACTAATAGTAGTAAAATTTTCTTTTATACTAAATTATACACATTTATAAATGAGTTCTGTACTTGGACTTTTTAAACGAATGAATCGCATTTTTTGAATAAGATATTCGCGATATTTTTAAAATAGAAAATTCGATCTAAATACTATTGATTGCAATTCAATTCAAATGTTCGAATTTCTATCTATTTATGGAGTTCAAAAAAATCTGTTTCTTCACTTGGAAACAAATTACATCCCTGAGAACTACTATTGACATATATTTTTGGAAGATTTTTCTTTCTTTTTTTCCTATAAAAATCTAATAATAAATTATTATTTACTAATAGTAGAGATTCTTTTTTAAAACTGCTTTATATTTGTCATACTCGAGACATTTGCCCTTTGCTGCCCATTTCTTGCAAAATTTCTTCTTTCTTTTTTTCAAAATAAAACACTTCAGTCGGATAACATTGAAGAAAATTTTTCCCACCACATTTGCCGATGAGGACTGGGCCATTTTCAGGCACGTTCGAAACCTAAAAATATAGAATAGTTTTTAGAGAAGCTTATGCAAAAAACGGGAGAAAAAAAATTCGCGAATGGATCTTAAAATAGCTGGACTGTCAACGTGTTTTAATTTTAAAATTTCAAAGAGTTTAAAAAAAAAATTGAGGGAAATTTTGTAGCAATATTTGGATCGGCTTTTGAAAGTGAATTCAAATCTGTACACCAGATGCGATGAAATGTTTAAAGGTACATTTGTTTTCATATACGATCTTTGACGTTATGAGATCTTATGTAATATTTCATTTGCTTATCGTTTTTCGTTTTATGATCTCTCATTAAAGTTTATTTATAATCAGCCGGCTATTTACTTTTTTTTACTTATGAATGAATATAAATTTAATTTGATTATAATTCAAGAATGAGTATTCTAATTTAATTATAATTTCTAAATGAATTGTACATTAAGTTGAATTATAATTTATAAATTAAGTTAACAATTTAAATATATTTGTAATAATTTGATATTAGTTTATAAACTAATTGTGACGCTCACAATTAAACATAAACTTTTAATCATTAAAATTTTTTGGTTTTTAAATAAAAAAAATAGCGTCACAATTAAAAATTTGATATTATAGAGTTGCCACAAGTCAGGGAAATCAGGGAATTTTATTAAAAATATTGGAAAAAATTTAAGTTTTCAGAATTCATACGAAAATTGTGAATTTTGTTGTTTGCCGCATAAACTATGAAATTACCACGAATTCCAATACAAAACCCTCAAATTTTTCTATTTCTAACAATAATTTCTTTTCAAATAACTTCATTCTTGAAGAACTATCATAAATTTATTACCTAGAAATCACTTAATGAATATAATTTTACTTAAATATTTTTAAAATAATTGAATTTTATGAGAGTTGCGATTACAATTTTTATAAACAAATTAACTTCAAAAGGTTTCAATTTAAAATTTTTGAAAATTTAAATTTTGAATGAATTAGATATTATAAAGAACTTAGTTTTTTGAAAAATTTAAATAATTCAAATTCTTATGACATTAGTTACATTTTTAATACCTATACAGTTTAATTAATTATTAAAAATAATGGTTTTATAGAAGAATTTTAGTTAAAAACTTAAAAAAGAAAATTGAATGTCGGAAAAGTTACAATTACTTAGCGAAATTCTTCGACAAAATTCAATTATTTTCAAAAATGTTAACGTAATTCTTCGAAAGAATTCAATTATCTTGAAAAATAACAAAATTCTTCCCAGAAATTCAATTATTTTCAGTAATTTTAATAACTTCTTTGTAAAATTCAATTATTTTCAGGAATTTTAATAAATTCTTTGTAAAATTAAATTATTTTCCTGAATAATAATACTCATCCTTTTAGGAATTCAATATTATTTATATAAACAACAAAACTCACTGCAAAATTTCAATTATTTTTAATCCAATTATTTAAAAAAAAATTGGAATAAATTTTGTCGAAAAAATTCAATTATTTAAAATTTTTTATAAAATTTTTTGCAATAATTCAATTATTTTAATAAATATTAAAATTCAACGCAGAAATTCAATTACTTTCAAGAATTTTAATAAAATTCTTTGCAAAATTCAATTATTTTTATAAATAACAATATTCATCACAAGAATTCAATTATTAAAAAAAATAATAAATTTTATAACTGGAATTCAATTATTTAAAAAAATTTAATAAAATTCCTCGAAAACTGCAATTATTTTTAAAAATCTTATTAAAATTCGTGGAAAGAATTTAAATATTTAAAAATATTTTGAAAAAAATTCTTTATGAGAATTGAATTTTAAGAATTTTTCTAATAAAAATTTATTTAAAAACGAATTTCAGTTTAAATTTTAGATAATAATTGAATTATAAAGGATTATAACGTAAATTTTGCGAATAAATTGAATTTCGAAAATGTTTCGAATTAAAACCTTATAATCTGAATTTTTCATACTTCTAATTAATAATTTTGTCAAAGTAATTGTTTTGAAAAATTTTAATTTCAATTTTTTTGAAATTATTTGTAATTTTTATTTTGTAATATATATTTAATTGAAGAATTTCCGTAATCAAAATTTGGTGAAATTGAATTGTAAACAAGTGGATTTGAAAATTCTCAAAGAACTTTTTCAAAAATTATTAAAAATAATTGATTTAAAGAAAAATTTTAGTTACAAATTCTATAAAATAATAATTGAATTGAAATCATGAAAATAATTTTAAAGAAGCTACAGTAACAATATATTTTGAAATTATATAGTTGAATTGTTAATATATTTTTAATTATTAAAAATAATTGATTTTGAGAAGAATTTTAATTGAAAATTCTAAAAAAAATAATTGAAATTTTGAGAAGTTATAAATAATAATAAGTTAATAATATTGATGACTTTATCGATCACTCCAAGTCAATTCAATAAGTGAATAAAATTATAAAAAATTTGTTTTACGAAGAGGACGGCCGTGGCGTTGAAACGTAAAGAATAATTTTCTTTTAATTTTATTCACTTATTAAATTGACTCGGAGTGATCGATAAAGTCATCAATACTATTTGAAGTTTTTACTTTCTAATACATATTTAATTGAAGATTTTCCGAATAATCGGAATTTCGGAAAAATGAGTTGTAAACAAATGGATTTGAAAATTTTCAAAGAACTTTTTTAAAATTTATTAAAAATAATTGCTTTATACAAGAATTTTAGTTAAAAATCCTAGAAAATAATAATTGAATTGAAATGATAAAAATAATTTTTAAGAAGTTACAGCAACAATATTCTTATAAGTTGTGGAATTTCAAAAAGGTTTGAATTTGAACGTTTTGAAGAATTTTAATTTCTATGGAAAAATAATAATGATTGAATATTTATTTAAAAATGAAGTTATTGATGTTTTGGAATAATTTTACAATTCAAGAAATTCGCAAATAACTGTAGTAGAATATTTTTTTTGAGAATCTAATCATTTTTGGAGTGAATCAGAATATTCTTGCGGGTCAGGGATAAAGTCAAAATTTTGTCTGGAAATCAGAGAAACGTTAGGGAAAGACAAAATTAAATTTTTGTGGCAACCCTGTATTAGTTTCAATTCTATTAAAGTTATTTTAGTTTAATTAATACTTTTTAGTTTTATAATTTTTGAGAAAAGGGAAATTAGTACTCGAAAATACTGTATATTTACCGTTCATCACAAGCGCAATGCATCATTGTTGAAACGCCCCAATTGTAGAGGCCATAACGTGATTCAAAAGCGGGAATCCAGAAAGGACAAGACAAATCATGTTTTCGACAACAAGAATCAGCTGTTCCAAAACCGCCCAAACTTGTGTATTTTGTTGCCGAGTAACCTTTGCCACACCATTTGGTACCAGGAATTAAGAAAAGATCCCTTCTCGATCGAATGTGATTTCCTTCGAATTCCCTGGACTTTTCCACAAGTGACAGTTGATTCCTGCAAAACATTATTATCATTACTTTCATTATATTCTATTCATTAGATTAATATAATCATCTATTCACTATTGTTTATTCATTTTTAATTATATACAGTGGAACCTCGATTATTCGAACGGTAAATGTTTTGAGCGTTCTCCCGAAACTGTAATTTAAAAAAAATCATTTATCCTTAAATATAAACGAAAATATTTGCGATTTCTATTATCAAAACGAATTCTGTCCGAATTAGTTTGTATAATCGAGGTTCCACTGTATATTATAAAAATTCTCCTACCATTGTCGATGCTGGTAAATAATTTGATTCTTATTCCTAGATTTCACACCATTACAATGCTGATACAGATTCTCGATGTCCAAAAGCCAAGTAAATTGTTTAACTATCGAACTATTATTTTCCTGTTTGTGAAATGAATCCACATTTTCAAGAGACGAAATTTCTTCAGTACACTGTTCGGGAGATTTATTCTCATCGTTGCAATCGGTTAAAATTCCGTTTTCAAATAGAAGGAGAAGTTTTCGATTTTTCTTCTTCAGACAGACCTCACGTAAAGTAACTTCCGCGTCTCTGTAAAAAGATTTCTTTTTTATAGCAAATAAATATGTAACATTCATCTCTGAAAAAGGTATTTTCTTTTGCAATAATTAATTATTCGCCAAAAAGCGAATAAAGACAAGTAAATAAAATAAGCGAATAAAAGAAATCTATTTTCTTCTTATTAATAATCGTTGCATTCCGGAAATATGTTCGCAGTTTGAACTTAGTTGCTGTTTGCTTTTTTGTATCCTAACTTTTCAAATAATTTTTCTTTTTCCGTTTTCAATATTAAAATTAATGTACTGATACAAAAATTTGAAAATAATTGAATTCATTTCAAGAATTTTATTAACATTTTTTTCCATAATTGAATTCTTTCAAAAAATGTAATTAAAATTGTATTGAAAATAATTTAATTCTTGGCAAGATTTTTATTAAAATTATTTAAAATAATATGGGAGCGTTCACAAATGATGTCACGCTTTTGGGGGTAGGGGGGGGGGAGGTCTTACTAAACGTGACACAATGTATTTTTCTCATGTGAAATTGCAAAAATTGCGTGACAGGGGGGAGGGGAGGGGTTGAAAATCTCCAAAAATTGCGTGACATCATTTGAACCGTTCGCTCGAACAACGGCTTAAGTTGATTTAAGCCGTTTTTCAAAAGACGCTTACCATCCTGTTAATTAACATCTAAATTATAATGTTTGATTGGAATTGTTTAAAGCAAAACCTATTAAATTAAATAGTAATGCTTTAAATTACCTATAATTTATAAATTAGTGTTAATTTTAAGACTTTCCAAAATGCCTCAAAAACACTTAAGCCGTTATTCGAGCGAACGGTTCATTTGTGAACGCTCTCTATAATACTTTTTCCTACAAATTTTATTAAAATTTTATTGAAAATAATTGAATTTCACAGAAGAATTTTATTATTTACAAAAATAATTAAATTCTTGACAAGAATTTTACAACAAAAAATAATTAAATTGTTTCGAAGAATTTTTATCAGAATTGTAGAAAATAATTGAATTTTTATCAAAACTCTTGGAAATAATTGAGGCCTTGGATCCAATAACTCGCCCGACGCTCGGAGGAACGCGCAACTGCCAGTCAGTGAGCAGTGAGCGCCTCTGGGCCACTCACTGCTACTCGACTGGTATTAGCGCGTGCCTTCGAGCGTCGGGCGAGTTATTGGATCCAAGGCCTCAATTGAATTGAAATAATATGTTTAAAAATAATTGTATTTTTTCGAGAAATTTTATTAAAATTGTTTTGAAAATAATTAAATTCCTCCGAAACATTTTATTATTTATGAAAACAATTGAATTTCTTTGAAGAATTTTATTACGTATGAGAATAATTGAATTTTTACAATTTTTTTCGACGAATTTAATTAAAATTTTTGAAAATAATTGAACCTGTTAGAGAAATTTTATTGAAAATATCTTAAATGTAATAGAATATTTTCCGAGTAATTTTATTAAAATTGTATTAAAAATAATTGAGTTTCTCAGAAGAATTTTATAATATACAAAAATAAATGAATTCTTGACAAGAATTTTACAATTTATAGAAATAATTAAATTGTTTTCAAGAATGTTTTATCAAAATTGTTGAAAATAATTGAATTTAGATAATATTTTTAAAAATAATTGTATTCTTTCGAGAAATTTTATTAAAATTGTATTGAAAATAATTGGATTCCTCCGAAAAATTTGTTTACGTATGAAAAAAATTGAATTCCTTTGAAGAATTTTATTATTTATGGTAATATTTTCTTTCCTGCGAAGAATTTTCTTATTTATGAAAATAATTGAATTCTTTAGGAGGATTTTACAATTCATAAAAATAATTGAATTGTTTTGAAGAATTCTATCTGATTTTTTGAAAATAATTGAATTTTTTGAAGGAATTTTATTAAAAATTTTGAAAATAATGATTTTTTTCAAAGAATTTCATGAAAATTACCGAAGATAATAATTGAATTTATATTAAAATTTCTGAAAATAATCGACTTTAATTAATATTTTTAAAAATAATTGTATTCTTTCGAGAAATTTTATTAAAATTGTATTAAAAATAATTGAATTGCTCTAAAAAAATGTTATTATTTATGATAATAATGAAATTCTTGCCAAAAATTTTATAAACAAGAATATTTAATATTATGTACTGAATAAGTGGATTCTTTAAATTTTGAATCTGTAATCATTTCAAAAATTGATGTCTATTCTTGAAAATATGAAATTTTAAAATTTACAAAACAAAAATAAATAAATGGAATACCGCGTTCCGCGCACGAATGAATCATTTTCCAGTAAACAAATAAAGGGTCAATAAAAAAAGTTTTTTTTTCCTTTTTTAAGTGTCAGGACACGGAAGAGGAGCAAAAGACTATAAGACATCCTCGTGAGAACATTGACAGATGAAATACCGTGAATGCTTGGATCCTAATCCTTGCTTACTTAACTTTCCGCTTTTCGAAGCTTAAAACCTTGTTCGCTCTTGCGGTCATTACCGACAGTCTGAGGCTTTTCGCGAGAGCGTTTTTCTTTTCATTCCTTGGCACAAATCCCATCTTGTTTTTGCGCCTCTCATAGACAAAATCAAATACGTGCTGGGTACTTTTTCCTTTTTGCCTTCCTCGTAATCTGCAGGATCTCTAAATACCGCATCGGACCTTCCATTAAGGGGCACACAGTCCGAAACGCGCAATGGAAAGGGGTGCCCATAAAGTATAACTTAGATTAAGAGACTATACTGCTATCGTCATACACCCGCACTCGTAGTATATTTATCGAACCCATTGCAATTGCAAATTAGGGATATTAGCGGATTAATCGAGTCAATTTTTCACTTCAACCCATTTTCTTTTATAATCTTTTTATATACAGATTTAGAAACTAATTTTCTTCAGTCACATATAGTCTTTTAGTATAGATTTAAAATGTAATCGCTTAATTCTTATAGGATTTCCTGGTGAATTAAAAACATTAATTATAATTTGCTTGAATGTTGGTTTACTTGAAAGCAAATTCTATTTTTTTAATCAATGTCATCAACGTATGTTAATCATTTTTTAGAGTTTCCATAAAAATTTCATTTTCCCAGACTTCTTCCTGATTTCCAGGCTAAAATTTTAACTTTTTTCTTGACCGAGGGTTGCCACAAATGTTTAATTTTAATTTTCCCTGACTTTTCCCTGATTTCCAGACCAAATTTTCACTTATTCCCTGACCCTAAAGAATATTCTGATTCACTATAAAAATTATTAGTTACTCAAAAAAAAAATGCTTTATATTACATTTATTTACAAATTTCTTTAATTGTAAAATTATTCAAAAACATCAATAACTTCTTTTTTAAATAAATATTTAATCATTATTATTTTTCAGTAGGAATTAAAATTCTTCATAACATACAAATTCAAACCTTTTTGAAATTCAACAACTTATAAGAATATTATTACAAAACATGAAGAAGGCGATTACTCCGAGTCGAAGACTCGGAGTGATAGCCTTCTTCATGTTTTGTAATAATTTAAATTACCATAAAATTTTTCAAAAAAAAAAAAAATTAATTATTTACAAAAATCCTAATAAAATCCTTCACAAGAATTCAATTATTTTTACAAGTAGTAAAATTTCTCAAAAAATTCAATTATTTTTAAAAAAAATGTTATAAAATTCATTGCAATAATTTAATTATTTTCATAAATAATAAATCGATTTTTCGGTAATTCATTTTTAAATCAATTTCTATTAGAAAATTCTAGAAGAATTCAATTATTTAAATTAAAAAATAAATAATTTATTGAATAATTGAATTTTTCTTAAAATTGAATTCTCATAAAGAATTTTATCAACAAATTTTTAAACAATTGAATTCTTTTGACAAATTTTAATAAAATTTTTAAGAATAATTACATTTTTCGAGGAATTTGATTAAAATGTTGTATAAAAAATAATTAAAATCCTGCGATGAGTTTTATTATTTATGAAAATAATTCAAATTTTCCCAAGAATTTTATAAAAATTTTTCTAAAATAATTGAATTTCGGAGAAGAATTTTTATTATTTATAAAGATACTTGAAATTTTGACTAGAATTTCTTTTTAGTTTTTGAATATAATTTTTCAATTTCAGCAAAGAATTTTTTTACTTTTGAAAATAATCTAATTCTTCCAACAAATTTTATTCAAATTTATAAAAATAATTGAATTTCTGTGAAAAATTTTATTATTTATATAAATAATTTATTGAATTCTCGCAACGAATTTTATTCAAGTTTATAAAAATAATTGAATTCTTGAAAAGAACTTTGTTAAATTTTTTTAAATAATTGAATTCTTGGGACGAATTTTATAAAAAACTTTTTAAATAATTGATATTTTTCGAAAAAATTTTATGAAATTTTGTATTTTAAATAATTGAATTCCCGTGAAAGTTTTATTACTTATGAAAATAATTAAATTATTTTGAAGAAATTTATTAAAAATTTTGAAAATAATTGAATTTCTGGAATCATTTGTAACTTTTCCAAAATACAATTTTTTTAGTGTTTTTAACAAAAATTCTTCTATCAATCTAGTATTTATGAAAATTGTAAAAATTATTCATTAAATAATGTCTAAGCAATCATTTTATGATAGTTTTTGAAAAATTAAGTTATTTAAAAAGAAATTATTGTCAAAAATAGAAAAAATTGAAGGTTTTGTATTAAAATTCGTGGTAATTTTATAGTTTACGAGGCAGACAAAAAAAAAATGAAAATTCAGAGTTTTCTCATGAATTTTAAAAATTCAATTTTTTTCAGTACTTTTACTAAAAATCCCTGACTTCTCCCTGATTTCCCTAACCAATTTTACTTTTCCTGACTTTTTCCTGAATTCCCTGACCTGTGGCAACCCTGATGACCGTAAAGAATATTCTGATTCGCTCTAAAAATTATTAGATACTCAAACAAATTTTCTATTACATTTATTTACGAATTTCTTAAATTCTAAAATTATTCGAAAACATCAATAACTTCGTTTTTAAATAAATATTCAATCATTATTATTTTTCAGTAGGAATTAAAATTCTTCATAACATTCAAATTTAAACCTTCTTGAAATTCAACAACTTATAAGAATATTATTACAAAAGATCACTCCGAGTAATTTAAATTACCATAAAATTAAAAAAAAAATTAATTATTTACAAAAATCTAAACTGAAATTCGTTTTAAAATCAATTTTTATTACAGAATTCAATTATTACCATATAAAAATAAATATTTTATTGAATAATTTAATGTTTCTTAAAATTAAATTCTCATAAATTTTAATAAGATTTTTAAGAATAATTATATTTTTCGAGGAATTAGATTAAAATTGTATTAAAAATAATTTAAATTCTGCGGTGAATTTTGTTATTTATAGGTATAAATAACAATGAATTCCAAAATGAAATGTTATTTTATTTATAAAAATAATTGAATCCCTATTAAAATTTTTTAACTATTTTAATTATTTAGAAACTATGAAAATAATTTATTAAATTTTGTAAAGAATTTTATAAAAATTTTTAAATAATTGCTTTTTTAAAAAAAATTATGCAAATTCTATTTAGAATAATATAAATCCGTGAATAATTTTTATTATTTATGATAATAATTGAATGTTTGCGCAGAATTTTATCAAAATTTTTTTTAAATAATTGAATTATTTTAGGAAATTTTATGAAAATCGTAAATATTGAAAATCATTGAATTTTGAAGGAAATTTTTGAAAATAATTTAATTCTTGTGATGAATATTGTTATTTATGAAAATAATTAAATTTTGCAAAGAATTTTATTAAAATTCTTGAAAATAATTGAATTTCTGGAAAGAATTTTAAAATTTGAGAAAATAATTGAATTATTGCAAAGAATTTAAGGGAGTATTCTGGTCTATTGGCCTCAATTTCAGGCGTTTTTCCGAGTAGAATAAAATAGAAAGTTTAACATTTTTAGTATTTACTTTTCTTGCAAGTTGTTTATTAATGTTTAAAGAGTACAGAAAAAAATTAGGAAACAAAATAATAAAAATATTTAAAAGTTATAAACTGATGAAGTGGGGACTGAAAAAAAGAAAGTGCGTACTGGTTGACAGTGTGGAGACTTTTGTAATGTTCTAAAACAAAAAACTCAAAGAAATTCTTGATTATTAAAGGCTTCGCTATGGTCGGTACCTTGGAAAAGAAAAAATAAAAGTTTTTAGCAAAATGGCGACGATTTAAAAAAAATGGTTTTTTGATTCTGTTTTTTAACTTTTTTGAATTTTTTAAAAATAGTAAAAAAAAATATTTTTCAAAATCCAAGGTTCCGACCATAAAGAGATATACAAAGAACATTTCTGCAAAATTTGAAGTAAATCGGTTGAGTAGATTTTGAGTTATCGTGTCAACAAGAATTTTTTTCAATTCCCACTTCACCAGTTCATAACTTTTAAAATTTTTGATTATTTCTTTTCCTAATTTTTTTCTGTATTCTTTGAACATTAATAAACAACTTGCACAAAAAGTAAATATTAAAAATGTTAAACTTTCTTTTTTATCCCACTCGGAAAAACGCCTTAAAATTGAGTTCTCTACACCAGAATACACCCTAAAAAAATTAATTTTTTCTACAAAATTTATTCCAATTTTGTTTAAATAATTGGATTTTCCGTTAAATTTTTATTATTTATGAAAATAATTAAATCCTTGCGCAGAAAATTATTAAATTTGTTAAAAATAATTGATATCTTTTGGAAAATTTTATTAAAATAGTAGATATTGAAAATCATTGAATTTTGAGGGAAATTTTGCCAAGAATTATATTAAATGTTTTGAAAATCATTAAAATTTCGGAGAAGAATTTTATTATTTATAAAGATAATTAACATTTACACGAGAATTGTTTTTTATTTTTGAACATAATTGAATTTCTGCGATGAATTATTACTTTTGAAAATAATAATTGAATTTCTGCAATCATTTGTAACTTCTCCAAAATTAATTTTTTTTCAGTGTTTTTAATTAAAATTCTTCTATAAATATATTATTTTTAATAATTAATTAAATAGATATATATTAAAAAATTTAACTATTTTTAGAAAAATTTGAATTATTAAAATTTTTGAAAAAACTAAGTTGTTTAAAACTTTAATTTAAATTCATTCAAAATTGATATAAAATTTTCTAATTGAAACATTTTCAAGTTTATCTATTTATGAAAATTGTAAATGCAACTATTTCAAAAATTCAATTAATTTTGAAATATTTAAGTAAAATTATTCATTAAATAAATTCTTAGTAACACTTTTATGATAGTTCTTCAAGAATTAAGTTATTTGAAAAGAAATTATTGGTATAAATAGAAAAATTTGAAGGTTTTATATTAGAATTCGTGGTGATTTCACAGTTTCTGAGGCAAACAAAAAAGACACCAAAATTCAGAATTCTCTTATAAATTCTTAAAATTTAATTTCTGACAGTATTTTTAATAAACATCCCTGATTTTTCCCTGCTATCCCTGACAAATTCTACTTTCCCTGACGTCCCTGACTTCCCTGACCTTCGGCAATCCTGTTTTTCCTTTCTTGGTTTGAATGTTTTTATATCTTGAAAAAGCAGATCGTCTTAAATTTACAAAATTATTTTCCATCTTCTTTGATTTATTACCCACTACAGGATAAAATTCGTCATATTTTATTTCATTATTCATTTATTTATTAACTTTAAACATATGCTTTAAACACTTGAAACACTTTAAAATTTTTAATAGTTTTTACAGGTTATGTCATCGTTATGTTGTTTACTTTTAACGAAATAAAGTTAGCTGCTTCTCGTTCTCGATATATCGATTTCATATTGAACTCATTTCAGACTGGTCTTATTTTTGCGTTTTCCGCATTGTTGCGCGCCTTTATTCTGTTTTCATGAAAATAAATATTGTCCGAAATTAATATATCTTCACGAAACATTTGTTATTTATAGTCGAAAACCTAATTAATAAGTTAATAAATAAATTAATCCGTTTTGCTAAAATTTGGATAAATGAATATTTTTGTCTGCTTCAACTTTATTGCGCCGATCGGATCAAGCCCCGTGAGTTCGATGTTTATTTACTCTTTTTGACGTGTTTTATCATTTATTTACAATTCTATTATTTCTGAATCTAAAAATAAATTTTCCTGAACTTAATAAATTAATTTGGATGAGTTATAGAATCGGTTTTAAAACTTTAAACCCTTTAAAACGCTTTGAGGTTAGGTTCTTAACTCTTGCGCGAGCGAAAAAATTGAGAAAATATTTTGTTTTAATCTTTTTTTATTTTGTTAAGAAGATACGTATTAAATATTTCTTTCCTTTTTGTTGTAAGAAAGTATACTAAATGATCGAGTCATCGAAAGATTAAAATACTTTTAATATTTTATGTTTAAAATTTTGATTCATTACAAAGTGTCCAATTATTTATGTATGATAAAATTTGCATATCAGCGAATTTGTACCAAAATATATCATTTATTTCTGGTTCACATATTACGTTAATTGAGCGATTTCCGAAGAAATGGTTTAATCGCATTGAGATTACAAGTTTTTTCTTATTATAATAATAGCAAATTGGTAATTATAGTTATGCTTAAGGGCATTTGAACCTTGATGACGACACACATGCTTTGCACAAACTGTAACGTCATCAAGGTTCAAATGCCCTTAAAGTTTTTCATACATTGTGACATAATTTCACAAAACCATTTTTTTGCTTGTATTTCAAAATAATAAGCAATTAAGTTAAAAAAATTCGTGAATAGTCTGACAATTAGCGTCTAGTTTAAGCTTCTCGTAAGCACAATAAATAATACTTGTTTTTTTTAAATTGTTATAATTTACAGGTCAGTAAAAATGTGTAACACGTCACTTATAATACACGCAGGAAAAGCATTAGGAAGACTTAAAGGTTTAAAAGAAACAGGTTTGTTGAATCATCAAAGAAGGAGTCAAAACATAAAATCTCTGATTTACTGTAAATAAAATTGGCATCGTTAGCAAAGGAAGTTTCATTAAAAGAAATCTAATTCTACAGTATATTCCTTCGATGACATGTGCGGTAAGTTGGTATTCATTTAAATAAATATGAATCAGTAAAATTACACGGAGAGAGAATATATATTAAATTTTGTAAAAGTATTTTACAATTTGAGGAAAAAGTGCGACAAAGCGAAATTTTTATACAAAAAATACTAAGATTTTGTGAAATTTATTATAAATTTATAATTATATCAAATATCAAGAATATTAATTAAATTCTAAGGCGTTTAGCGAAATGACTAGGCAATTGTCTATTTGCCTAAAACTGTTCAGGCAATTAGAAGAAAATATCTATTACCAACAAATCGTAGCTAGCGAAATTCTCCATTTATTTTTTATGTAATAAATCATCCTGTCCCTTCCACCGTGTCCAGTTTGAGTGTGAGCCTCCTCTAATTTTTCAAAATAATCCTCAATTGACAAAACATAAATTAACGGATCGTTTTCGTTTTTTCTTTTTAAAATTACATGGTTCTCACCACCAAGTCTTACGAGTTCATATAATTTAAAACAATGATAATATGCACCACTTTTCGTCGATTTCACTCCTTCGAATTCTGACAATACTTGAATAACTTCGAGTAGCCGTTTTTTATTCCATATTGTTCTGTTACATTTTTGCTCGGAGTACAATATTTTTAATTTTTCTTCAAAATCACTTCGATTTACACTCATTTTATATAAGAAAAAAATCTAGATTTCAATTAAATTTCGCGTTTGCACGTTAATTTTAATTTATATTTCGAGTGTACGAGCAGTATGAAGATACTAAATTAAATTATGTTTTCTAACGAATATTCAAGTTACTAAAGTAATTTTGTTTTGATCTTTTGTTTATGGATTATGACGAAATTTATTTACACTTTTAACTTTTATATTTATAAAATATTTTTTATTTTTATTTTTTCAAGTATTCAATTTATTTTTCCATTTTCTTCATTACGATTTGTTGGTAATAGATATTTTCTTCTAATTGCCTGAACAGTTTTAGGCAAATAGACAATTGCCTAGTCATTTCACTAAACGCCTAAGCTTTTTAGGCAAATAGACGAATTTAATCATTTCTCAAGTCCATTCGTCTATTCGGCGCCGCTAGGCTAAACGCCTAGGCATTTACACGGAGAGAAGAGTTGCAGTAAATGTGACAGAACGCGTTTAGTAAATCATTTAGTGCACCGGTTAGTGCCACCAACTGTATGTTTAGTATAATACACTACGACACCTCTCTGTTTAGTAGAATATAATGTTTGCTCAGTGTATCTTACTATCTTACTAAACAGTGCAGTAGATGGCACTGTCTGTACCGTCAGTCCAAACCTAACGATTCTGTTTAGTAGATTTAACTGCCATGTCAGTAGAATCTACTACGCCCTTCTCTCCGTGTAGCTAAATGACGGATTCTTCTATTTGCCTACGACATATATATATATATATATACAAGTAATTACTTGCAAGAGTAATTTTAACTAATACATAGATAAAAAAAATCGACTCACCCCCTGTTAAATGTGGTTTCTTTCACACTGAATTCCGGACTTTCAATGAAAATTTCCTTTCCTTCATTAGACGATGTTTCATTTAAAATAACATTCCCTTGATAAAAGCTGTCCATTGAATGGTTTTCGAGAAGAAAAAAGTCTTTCGTTTGCAAACTAGATCCAGCAAGCTGCAGAAACAACAACCCCAATGTTAGCAACATTGTGCACTGCTTTCTCGAGAATTTTCTATTTTATCCAAAAGAAAATTCAAATCATTACGATGATTATTTCATTAAATTTAATATATTAAATTAATTTAAATAAAATCAGTCAGTAATTCAATAGTAATAGTTTTTTTTTACTAATTCATTTGACTAATTTTACTAATTACTAATTTATTAATAATTATTATTACTAACTGGCAAATGTTACGCGCAGAACGAGATATTCAATTTATTATTGTTATGCAAATTACAAAATTTTTTATTTTCAAATACTTATAAATTTTTTAAATAATTTCATATTAAGTACAAAATTAATTATTACTGTTCAATATTTTCAAAAATTTTAATAAAATTTCACGAAAGAATTCAATTATTTTCTAAAATTTTAATAAATCCTTCTAAACAATTCAATTATTTTTTTAAATAGTAAATTAGGTATTCTTTACAAAAATTCAATTATCTTCAAAACAATTTTAATTAAATTCCTCGGAAGAATTCAATTTAAAAAATTTTTTTTAACACTTTTCAAAAAAATACAATTTTTTTTCTAAAATTTTAATAAATCCTTCGAAAAAATTCAATTATCTTTACAAATAGGTAGTAAAATTCTTCGCAAGAATTCAATTAATTTTATACATAGTAAAATTCTTTGCAGGAATTCAATTATTTTTAATACAATACTTTTAATAAAATTCTTCTTCATAAAATTCAATTGCTTTTAAAATTTTAATTAAAATTATTAAAGAAACTGCATTAGTTTAGAAAAAATTCGCAGAAATTCTTCAAAAGAATTTAATTAAGATTTTTAAAAATTTTAATAAAATTCTTCGCGAGAATCTTTTGAAGGAATTCTATTATTATCAAGTTTTTTGATAAAATTCTTTGCAACAATTCGATGATTTTCAATACATTAATTTTAAAATTGAAAATATTTGAAAAAAGAAATTATGTATAAAAATGTTAAGAAACAAAAAAGCAAACAACAACTAACTTAAAACTGCGAACAGTTTACCGAAACATGTACTTTATTATTATTAATTAATTAATTACTACTTCAGGCCTCGGATATTAAGACTTTTTCGACTCTTTTCGATTATTTTCAAAAAATGCGACTCCATTTTATTTCTTTTCAAAAATTGCGACTATTTCAACTTTTCTTCTAAATGTTGCTTTTTTTAAACTCTTAAATGAAAAAAAAATTCAATTATTTATTTTTGTATTTAAATAATTGAATTCTCGTAGATTTTTCTAATAAAAATTGATTTAAAAATGAATTTCACATAAAATTTTAGATAATAATTCTATTATTCTATTATTATCAATTATTTTCGAAATATTACATTACAATGACAATTTTTAAAAAACTAATCCTTAGAATTGTTTTATCAAAATTTTTTAACATTCAATTATCTTCGAACAAAATACATTAAAATTTTTTTAAATTTACTTGTTTAGACCTATTGAAGTTTCGGAGGAGTCATGTTCATATTTATAATTAAAATTCTTCAAAATATGATTTTTTTTATATTTTACATAAATTCAATTATTTTCAAAAGACTTTACCAAATTTCAATTACTTTAAAAAAATTTTACCAAATTTCAATTTTTTGGAAATTTTTCGATTGTATATAATTTAAAAACTATTATTATTCAGAAATTAATTTAAAATATTTTTAAAAAATTAATTTTTCAGGATTGCCACAGATAAGAAAATTCAGTTAAAAGTCAGAGAAAGTAGAATTGGTTAGAGAAATCAGGGAAAAGTCAGGGAATTTTATTAAAGTTATTGAAAAAAATTAAATTTTTAGAATATGTTCGTCTTATAAACTTTCATATCACAAAAAAAACAAAAATTAAAATTTTTTTATATCTAACAGTATTTGACCTTAAGAAAATATAAGAATGAATTTATTTAAATTAATTTAATTCTTGAAGAAGTATTGTAAAATTATTAACTTATAAATTAGTAATTTTACTTAAATATTTCAAAATTAATCGAATTTTATAAGAGTTGCATTTACAATTTTTATCAATAATTCAATTTCAAAAGGTTTCAAAATTTTAGGAAATTTGAATTTCGAATAAATCTATTTAGAAAATTTGTTAAATTTAGTTTTTCGAAAAATTTTAAATCATTTGAATAATAAATTGTATTCTAAAAGAACTTTATCAAAAATTATTGAAAACTAACAAATGTTACGCGCGCTGGCGCGCGGATCCTTATGTTCGTAGAGAATTTTTCAATAATTTCAAATTCAAACTTAAAAAAATTAAATTTTTAAGTAATTTACTAATTAATTATTTATTCTTGTTTATTAATTTCAAGAATTTTAATTAAATTCTTCGCAAGAATTTAATTATTTTCATTAATAATATCATTTTTCATAAGAATTCAATTATTTTTATAGAAAGTAAAATTTTTTACAAAAATTCAATTATTTTTAAACAAAATTTTAAAAAAATTTCACGAACGAATACAATTATTTTCTAAAATTTTAATAAATCCTTCGAAACAATTCATTTTTTTAGATAGTAAAATGTTTGCAAAAATTTAATTATTTTCAAAAAAATTTCACGAAAGAATTCAATTTTTTTCTTAATTCGTCATGAAATCTTTGTAAAAATTCAATTATTTTCAAAAAATTTTCACAAAAGAATTCAATTTTTTCCTTAATTTGTTATAAAATATTTTGAAAATTCAATTATTTTCTAAAATTTTAATAAATTCTTCTAAACAATTCAATTTTAATAAAATTTCATGAAAGAATTATATTTTTCGAAAAAATTCAATTATTTTATAAAATTATAATAAATCCTTCCAAACAATTCAATTGTATTTAGTTTATTTAAAATTGTAGAAAAAATTTAAATTTTTTTGAAGAGTTGCAGTTCTAATTTTTAAAAATTTTATTAAATTTCAGAAGGTTTTAAATTACTATTTTTTAAATTTTATTTCTCGTGGAAAAACAAATACGAAGTATATTTTAAATATAAATTTAACAAAATTATTCAAGTTTTAAAGAATATAATTTGGAAATCAGTGAAAGAGGAAAATGAGGGAAATATAAAATAAAATTTTCCTGACAATTCAATTAGATTAAAAAAAACAAGTTTTTAAGACTTTGAAAAAGAAAAATTTTTTCAAAAAGTTTTCCTTTTAATAAAAACCAGTGAATTGTATTCTATTTATTTCCGCATAATTTGTCAATAATTTTCTCTGATTTTTAAACAATCTGATTAATTTTATTTAACTGAATCATCAGACAGTCTGGCGAGGAATCACGCCACCCGCGTAATTCTGTTATCGCATAAATAAC